CATGACTTCGAAGTGGGAGCAGAAGCTAAATCACAAGGCCGGCTTGAACCAGAACGGGCTCCGGGTGTTCACATAGTCTGCTCTTCAGCAGGCTGTCGTGTAAATTGATGTCGAGAGGTACAAGCCCTGCAACACGATCAACTCGACAGCCCGCACCCTGAGCTCTATGGCGTTGATCTCGAAAACCCAGGCCTAAACTTTGATCGCTGTCGTTTCATCGAGCTGAGTAGATGGACCGCAGTATCAAAGGTGAAGCACTGCAACGCGATCAACTTGACCCAGCCCTAATCCTGCAGACCCTCCTGACCCCTGAACCCCAAACCTGCAACCCGTCGCAGCTTTGAACCCCATCCGTGCCGCGCACCGTAGAGATCGTCGGAATGGGGTTGTGGCAGTAGTCGGCAGGCTGGAAGCTGTCCTCGGTTTCATGGAGGCATAAAGTATATAATATGGAAGGAACATGACATAACAAAGCTTCAAACAAAACTTAACATTACCAGCATAATATAACCTTTGATGATAGAATGACATACTGAACAGTGGTATAACAAAACACAACATAATGTGTGCCCCCCTCTTTGTCTCCTATCCTGTCGCAACGCTCCACGGCTTGAGGGTTTTTTTGGGGGCAGGGTCCTAGCCCGTCGTAGGGTTTGGGTTGCAGGTTTGTCGCTTCTTTGGGTCAGGGCCCACGAAGGCTCAAAATAGCCTATAGGTTTAGGGTTTAGGGTTTCGGGTTTAAGGTACAGGGTTGAGGGCACTCTGCAAAAAAGGTTTCACAAGACTCCTTTAGGATTGATGGTTCGCATCGGCGAGGTATCATGGACATGCTCAATCCCAAGAGCTGTAAACATAAGCCCGTGCTTTGCTTTTTTTTTTGCGGGCCCTTTCCGACTGCGAAAAACACTCATAAACTCGATTTAGGATTTAGGGTTCAGGGTCCCCAAATGCCCTTAGCCCTTAGTTTTGCTACTGGCAGCTCCATACAGAGCCAAAGGCCAACAGCAAGAACTAAATGCTTAGGCTTCGGGGCGCCAATTGCTTGATTGTGAAGCGCAGGAAGAAGACTATGGACCCCAAACTACACACTACAAAACCTGAAAGCCCCCGAAACCCTAAAACAGCCGTGCCCCTTGTTCCAATCCTAATCCCCTATCAGCCCTCATGAACACCGCTTGCAACCCTATCAAACCCTGTAAACCCCCAAACACGTTTGCTCCCTAAACCGCTGCAAATCCCACCCTGAAAGAACCTTTAAGTCCTAAACCCTAAACCCCTAAATCCTAAACTCTAAACGGGCACTCGGCACCGGACTCCAACAATGCCCGCTCCGCGAGGGCACCTGCCCTCTGACTCACCCAACACACAGCTGCACCTGAGACTGTGATGTAGGAACCTGATTAAGAAACCCTGGGCCTCTAACCCCGTAATAGTAGGATTCATATAAGGAACCCTAATAAAGGCCCAAAGTTTCTAAATCAGGTTCCTACATTCGTGTAGCAGGGCGCTTGGTTTTTGATTCATGAGGTTTGGGGATGCTGGGCTCACGGGCGTTGAATGCTTACAGAATGCAAGTGGTATGGGCATTAATTATAGGGTTCAGTGTTTAGGAGTAAGGCTTAGGGAAGTTTCGGGTTCAAAGGCTTCGGGGTTCAGAGCTTCGAAAGTTGCGGTCCAAGAGCTCGGAGTACGGCGTGATGCCTGTAACACTGCTTGGAGCGACCGCTAGCCGTCTTCACCATCACATCGACCTCATCCTCATCCACACCAGCATCATCACCATCATCGTCGCCATCATCGTCATCCTCCTCCCCCTCCTCATCACCATCCTCGCAGTCGTCATCATCATCTTCTTCATCACCATCCTGAACCGTCCTGAATCATCATCACCGCCAGCATCAGCATCAATGTCATCCTCATCCTCGCTTCATCCTCATAATGCTCGCGATCACGCGGTCGCCACCGTCACCACCGCCTTGGCTGCTGCAAACAGGGCCCAGGCTCTGCATGCTTCTGCGACATCTGGAGCTCCGACATGAAGATTCTCGCCTGATCGAGACAGGTGCAGATTTTTAAAGGGGTGAGGGGTTAGGATGGTACCCAAGCTACAAAAGAGGAACTCTCAGGCGTAGTCATATTACGTGACTACTAGAGTCTAGAGTGCTGCCACAAGACATTAAGCGCCTGAAGCTCCAAACCCTCCTAATCTAAAACAACAAAACGCTAATCTTGAGTGCTGCTGGTCCCTTTTTGGCCCATCGCCGCTTTCATCTCACCCGTCACTGCCACAGCAATGCTGTTGCGCATGGGTAAAACGTGGGAGATTCTCAAACCAGGATTTCAACCTTAAGCCCTAAACCCTAAACTTAAACCCTAAACCCTTCAACCATCACTGGCCGGACTGTATGGAACTTCTCACAAGTAGGGGAGGCTTCCTCGGGTCAGGATGAGGACCATGCCCAAAAGATGGAGGAGCTAGTAAGAAGGGTTACAGTACATGTGGGTATCCGTACCTACATATGTCAGTATGTTCAATTCCGACGTGGGTGTTGGCATGAATCTGCAAGCACGGCTTCGCTAAAGAGCTGCATCGAGAACTGAGTTTTGAGAACCTTCCACACGAAAGCAATCCACATGGTCCCCCATTCTCAAGCCTTGGCAAGCTGCGTTCTCTTCTGATTCAGGGTGAAGGATGAGGGCTGATTCGAGTAGCACTCATGAGAAGCACAGAAGCAGGAACCCGACACCCTCTCTGACAAATTGAACAGTTGCAAGTAACTAGAAAGATGCACCCGCTTATACTTTTAAGCCCTAAGTAAGCCCTAAAGTTTCAGGCAGAGACCAGTGATTTAGGATGTCTGTATAATCAGTTTTTTGCGAGGGAGGCAGAATAGAAGGGTGAAGCGGGTTCTACTGCAGGACCTACAATCCCTAGATCTTACCCCCCTTCCATTGGCATTATGATAGCAGTATTTTGTCTATGCATGTCGCAGGTGCGGCGGGACTGATTAGTGATACCACTGCTGGCGTCGTCGCTCTTTGTATATGGGTGGTTGTCAAAATTAGGATCCCTTGTTGGGTCATTATTATAGTACGGCACCTAATATCTAGGGTACCCGAAAAGGGACCATAATTTGACAACCACCTATATGTTTGCAACAGTCCAACTCTTCTCACTTGTACTTCCGTCAGTACTGTTGCGACAAAGATGATGGTTCTGACCTCTACTCTACAGCAGAATGCTTCTCAACAATCCCAAACTTCAAGACCTACTGACGTACAAGGCTGCACCGGCCGTGAAATTTCGGGATGGCTAAAACTATCCTCAAGCGTAACTAACGAAGCTCCAAACCCTAAGCCCTACAGTAAACCCTGTGTCGGTGGTTCCTTGCTGCGAAGGCTCGACGACCCCAAGCCAATCAGAGGCGAATTTGCAGAATTTGGCTGGAGCTCTCGGAATTCGGTGGCTGGAGTTTCAGGCTTGCGGGTCTTTCAGAGTAGGGATCATCATATTTAGGAATTTTGGGTTCCTCCTCCTCCTCCTCCTGTTTTGAACTCCCACTGCAGGGGCTGAAAACTAGAATGGCGACTAGAACCCAAGCTTCACTGGTTTGAAATCTCAGTGTTTTTGGGCCTTGGCCCGATTCACGGTATAGCATCTCACTACTTGGAGGATCATGGGACTTAGTAAGTCAGGTTATAAGTACCCTAATTGGGGTTATAAGTATAGTTACCATAACTATAACCCTAGTTACTAAGCCCCATGATCCTTTAAGTATAGTATCTCACGAAACTGCGCTAGAGCGCTCGTTGTTACCCAGCAGGCTGGCGCTAGGACAATTGAGGGTCTACCTACAGTGGACTTCGTAGACCTGACTTTCTTGCGATTGCGTTGTAGCTTTTCATTGAAAGCGGAGACAAGGCTCAAAGATTCTTGAGGAGCCCGCTCAGCCAAGAGCTTTCCACGTCTAGCTGGCTGCGTGCTGATGCCCACGACCGCAAATGCTAAGCTCACATCAACACTCTAAGCCATAAACATCCCTGCGCATGAGGGCAACTCTACACCCTGGCGCCCTTAAGCCTCAAACCAAAGCCCCTAGACTAGACCCCTGAACATCTACATCCTAAACCCCCAAACCAGTAAACTCTGAACACCCGAAGCCCTAATTAAGCTGCACACAAAGCTGTATTCCCTAGCCCTAACCCCTCTTGAGCCTGAAGCCCTAAATCGCGTCGCCATCCTCACGCAGAAGCTCGTCAGCTTCTTCCGGAGCGGCTGGGAGGCCGATTTCCCCCTCGGGCTCCTGGGGACAAAAACAGGTTCACCACCGCATCGTGTTGCATGTATGGTATATGCTCTGTCCCTACGTACATCCATCCATCCATGCACGCATACGGTATACAGTATACATACATATAACACTCACATATACAGAAACGTACATGCATAGAAACACATGATGCTTTCGTATATAAACTTAAACCATGTATAGACATGAACAGTTTTCTATGTACATACATTCGGGCTTGCTGGGGCGACTGCACGTCGGCATCTCGTACGTAGTTTTACAAGAGCCAGACGTCTCAACGAAACGTCTCGGGACCGCGGGTGTGTAAGGACGCGACCGACTGAATGTCTCCAATGGTCTGAGCTTCAGGCTTCACAGACCTTACTGTCGGTGCTGCTTATGTTCTGATATAGGCTCCATGGGGGATCAAGGGCCCCGGGAGAATAATTCATGTTCGTGCCGTTTTCTCCACCAACACATTCATATACTTTAAACTTCAGGATTTCGGTTTGGGTGTAGGCTGTTGGAGGGTTGGGGTTCTCTTTGGCGTGCACACAGCTTTTTGCATGCCAGGGAACTGATCCATCTCACTGTACAATGGGTGTCCCTGCAACGAGGATCTGGAAAGGCTGCACATCCCAGGTTGCAAACAGGCCTTTCAGGCCTGTCTGTGATGTACCGTTTAGGGTACAGGGCTTAAGCCTGAGCTTCTCAGCCGCTGTAGGGCGGAAGGCCACAGCCCTTCGGATGGCGCTTTTGCAAGGCGGCCTGTCGTTCGGCGAAGGGACTGATGGCCAGAGCGATATCTGCGACGGATGGATACCTGTTCCGTCTCTGTCCGGGATAGCCTAGGGAACCTGACTACTCTGGGGCGATGCTTAGGGTCGCTTGTCTTGTACGTCTCCCACCTCCACAGCCGACGAAGCCGTCGGTGCAAAAACGGAACCGAATAAAGACCTGGGTCATGCAAGCTGTGATGGTGATGATGATGATGATGATGATGGTGATGATGATTATTACATGTAATTGGTGAAGAAGAAGATGATATTGACTTTGTTTGCCACCACCCTTATTCCTGCTGCCAGCAGCTATTTTTTGTTATTGCCACGAGTTTTCGTGTGTTTAGGCTAGCTGATAATGGAGCCCAGGAGCTGAACAATACCCCGAATCCCACAAGCCTGGTAAGCCTTAGACTCTAACACACACTGACGAACTTAAAACGCCCAGGAGCCATACCGCTCAGTCTCCTGCATGGTGCGATCGAAATAAACGCCATCCGGAAATGCCGGAGCTGCGAAGCGAAACCAGCCCTCTCCTGAGGCAGGCGTAGGGCTTACCTGTAGCTCAATCAACCTATATATCTTGGCATGCATCCCTTAGTAGATAAAGTAGTGAGACTTGCACAAACACAGACATACATACATATATATATATATATATATGTATGTATATATATATATATACATATATGTACAGATAGATAGATAGATAGATAGATAGATGAATAGATAGATAGATAGACAGATAGATAGAAGAGAGGCAGACAGATAGATAGATAGTGCCTGGAAACCGCAAGAAACTGTTTGCGGCCACGGGTAAGAGCCTCATGCACATTTAAGGGTTCATGGCCTTTGGGTTTGAATTTTATGTAATAGAGAGTTTGGAGTTTAAGGCTTCGCTTCACACTTGGAGGGTGCAGGCTTTACCCTTTCAGGGTTTGTCAGGCATGAAGCCCTTCGAAACACCGTACAGCAGCCCCTGAATAACCATAAAGCAACCCTACAACCCCCGAAAATCCTAGAAGCCAAACCCAAAACCCCTAAACAAGCGCCCCCAAAAGCAAAGGCACCGGACGGGCCATAGCGAGGCCCCAGAAACGGCGGGGCGTTCACCTCCACCTCGCTCAAACGCAGGCCCAGAGATTCCTGGAAGATTAGAGCAGCTGGGATTCTAGGTTATAGGGTTTAGGGTTTAGGGTTTAAAGGGGTCTATAAGGGATCTATAGTAGGGTTCTATAATGTAGGGGGTTAATATACTAGGATACCCAGTAACCTAAGAATAAGAAGGCCTTTCTTTTTGGAATTGGGTAACAAAATAAGGAACCTAGGACTACAAAAAGGGAATAAGGGTACTACTGGGCATCCTAGAGCAGCTGGGATTCTGTAGCGATTTACGTTTCGGCTTTTGGGCTTAGGGTGTTTGGGGGTTTAGGGGGGTAGGGGTTTAGGGTTTAGGGTTCAGGATTTTTGGGTTTAGAGTTTTTTACAGGGGACATAGCCATTCAGGGTAGAGGGTTTCTAGGGTTTCTTTTGAAGGCCTCTAGTGGGTAAAGGTCTGAAGCTTCGCACACACACACACAAAGCGAGGGCCTGCGCATGCATGCTATCCAATGCCGGCATATATGCACCCCCAAGCGTGTGGATGCAGGACTTGACAACTTGAGGACACACAATCTCGCTAGGCCGTTTCGGCGGAACGCATTAGCCGAGGTCATCTCGTTCCCGGGCTTAGAACGGACGTGCAGAGGACGCCTGGGCTTAAAAGGCTAGGCAGCTCAGCCCTCAATACATTCCGAAAATCGGGGTACCTAATATAGTACCCTAAATGGTAGGATCCTTATTATAAGGACCCCAAAGTAAGGTACCCCGATTTTCGGAAACTCCCACAGATTATGCCAAGATGACTCCGATGGGGTTTAGGGTTTACACTCTCAAGCCTGGCAGCGTTTGCACTGCCCATGAACTCTTGTTCAGGTTGTGGCAAAATACACATTTCCCTGTCGAACCTATACAAAAAGCTCAACTTCAAAACCCAACTGCAGCAGAACTACATTTCCCTTTAGAACATATACAAAATGCTAAACTTCAAAACCCCAAAATGCAGCTGAGAGTCGACGATGGGCACCGACACCTCGAACAAGTAAACAGACTTCTCCTTTCCGGTGTAGCCGGAAGCTATGCATGAGGTCCTCGGCTGTGTTCAAGTTACCCACTGGGGAAGGTGCACTCACAAATAGATTGGTCGGGTAATTTACCGTGGAAGCCTTGATGATTTAGAATAGGGTTTCGGGGCCCAATATACTACTGTATAATCATAGTAAGGAACCCCTCAAATCTTATCGGTAATCATTTAGGCCCCTTTTTTATACTTACCAACAAGTGAAAAACTCTTCCCTAAACCCTAAACCTGAAAAGCCCGGGGTCGTCTGCCAGTCATCGTGGAGCGAGACCGAGGGATCGTGACCAATCAGGCGCTGCAGATGCGCGATGTACAACCTGAAAGTTGCCAGGGAGGCTTGGAGGCTTGGGTTCAGGGTTCAGGGTTTAGGGTTTAGGGCTTTAGGGTTTAGGGGTTCAGGGTTTATTATATTATTGTCTGGGTTCTTGGTAATGTGGCGGTCGGATTAATAGTGGGGTACCCCCCCCCCCGACCAAAAAAAAAAATTCTATTTAATATGGAACCGGTAGCCCCGGACAGGGGTCAGGGGTCGGTCTGAGTGGCAGGGAATTGGGAGGTGCCGGGGTTTGGGGGCTGGCTTGGGTGCAGGGTCTGCGGTTCTGCGCGACTGCGCGGTCGGGGGTCGGGGGGGTCTGGGCCAGCGCCTGAAACCCTGAACCCTGAACCCTAAACCCTAACGAATCCCAAACTCCTAGACCCTATAACAAACCCTAAACCCTAAGCCCTAAACCCTTCCAAAGGGGGGTCGGTCCAGATTCGACCCAAAACTTAATTTTTTATACAAACTTTAGTACTGGAGAGGCCTCTTTTGAGCTAGGGTCCAATCCCCGATTCGGCGGTTCACCCTAGCAGCCCCCCCCAATAATCAAGGTAAAGTAGAATAGTAGTACAGTAGTAGTACAGTAGTAGTATAATAATAGTGCAGTAGTACAATAGTAATACAACAGTAGTACAGTGGTAGTACAATAGTAGTACAGTAGTAGTACAATAATAGTACAGTAGTACAATAATAGCACAATAGTAGTACAGTAGTAGTACGATTATAGGACCGTAGTACAATAATAGTACAGTAGTAGTACAGTAGTAGTACAATAATAGTGCAGTAGTACAATAGTAATACAACAGTAGTACAGTGGTAGTACAATAGTAGTACAGTAGTAGTACGATAACAGTACAGTAGTACAATAGTAGTACAGTAATCGTACAGTAGTAGTACAATAGTAGTACAGTAGTACACTAGTAGTACAGTAGTAGTACCACAGTAGTACAGTAGTAATACAGTAATAGTACAGAAATAGTACCAATAAGCAAAGCATAAAGCCAGTGAGTACATTCCCCCAATAAGCAAAGCATAAAGCCAGCGCCTGAAACCCTAAACCCCGAACCCTAAACCCTAAAGAATCCTACACTCCTAAACCCTATAACAAACCCTGAACCCTAAGCCTTAAACCCTTCCAAAGGGGGGTCGGTCCAGATTCGACCCAAAACTTAATTTTTTATACAAACTTTAGTACTGGAGAGGCCTCTTTTGAGCTAGGGTCCAATCCCCGATTCGGCGGTTCACCCTAGCAGCCCCCCCCAATAATCAAGGTATAGTAGAATAGTAGTACAGTAGTAGTACAGTAGTAGTACAGATTTTCATTCCTGACGCCCCAATAAGCGAAACAATTCTGCAAGAGATTTTCGGGCTTCAGGGCCAGGGTTTTAGGGTTGGGTGGGGGTTTGGGTGGGGGTTTAGGTCGTGGCTGCCTTAAGATTGACCATCAGCAAACAGCACAGCCCCGCCACCAAAAAAGCCCCCCCAGCCAAAAAAAAACGCATTAATTAGAACACCCTTATTTTTTTGTCAGATTCGGAATTAGCCCCGGAGCCGACGCATTAAAAGAGCCCATATTCCTAAACCGACCCCCACATTAAGGGATTTAATTCCAAGTTACCATAATGAAGAAACCATCTTATTTACTATAGATCCCTAGTATGGTAACTGAAATTAAGTTCCAAAACAAGAACCCAGTTGTGGTCCAGGGGGGGCCTTAAGGACTGAAGTGGTTCATAAGGTTCGACCCAGAGAGCCCAATACCCCTTAATTAAGGAATATGGCTTAAATCATAATATGAACCCCTATATAGTTTAAGCCATATTCCTTAATTAAGGGGTATTGGGCTCTCTGGGGAAAGGGTGTAATCTAGAGGCCTTGATGATTTTTGCTTGGAACAGGGGTGTTGAGTCCATTACAGTGTAAGTCTATGGGGAACCCCACCCGCACCTGCGCGAGAACGCTTTAATAGGGCTGTTATATGCATTAATAGTAGGGTTTTTGGCTGTAGTAGAGGGTATGTAGTGGGGGTGCCCAGCCATATCCCAAACATTGCGAGTACTGGGCCGTATCCGGCTTCGGGTGTACCCGGTTTTCGGCCAGGGAGCTCAACATGTATCCGTCGTGGGTTGTAGCTTAAGTTTAACGGTTCCCAACATGATTTGTGTATCGCCGCAACCACCTGTAAAGGAAATTCAACAGCCAGCCAGTTTTGCTTTAAGGCTGTTGTAGACCTGTGGCAAATCATACCCATCCTGGCTTGTGAAAACTGTAAATACAATTTCGGTGATCCAATGATCCGATTGAGGACCTGGAAGAAAGGGGCTGTTCAGTACAAAAAACCTAAACCCCAAACTCTATATAAGCCCAAAACGCGCACATCCTGGGTCTGCGCTGAACCCTTCCCGAGCCTTGCCACCACGACCTTGGCCACGCCGTGCTCTTCAATGATTCGACTCAGCTCTTCAGCAGTCACCTGACAATTCGAACATACTTACCCAGAGAGCCCAATACCCGTTAATTAGGGAATATGGCTTAAACTATATAGGGGTTCATATTATGATTTAAGCCATATTCCTTAATTAAGGGGTATTGGGCTCTCTGGGTACTGGGCCATGGTATGGTCTTACGGGTTCCTTACTATACCTTTAAGTAAGGTTGTATAAGGTCAAGGGCTTAGGGTCCAGTAGGGTCACGTCCTGATCTGACCCCAAACCTGAAACCCAACCCCGAATCAACCCCGCACGGAACTTATCAAGCCCTGTAAAACCCAAACCATGCCCTGCAAAAACCCCAGGCCACCGCGAGGTTACCCTAAACCCTAAACTCGAAGTCCCTGAATTGAATCCAATCCCTGAACCCCTAAACCCCTAAACCCTAAACCCCTAAACCCTAAGCCCCAAACCCTAAACCCCTAAATCCCAAACCCTAAACCCCAAACCTTACACCCCCAACCCCTAAACCCCCCAGAGCGTCTTCGTTGAGAGCCTCCCGCCTCAAGCTGGCCTCGAGGGAAGATCTCCTTTGCCTCAGGGGCGTGATCCCGGGTGTGTGTTTAAGTTTAGCTGGTCTCCTCATTGCATGACTATGCTGATATGTTACAAATGTATATGAGTATCATTCTATCATTGTTTGCTACTGTTGATGGACAAAATCCTGCATTACCCTTTATAAGGAATATACCATAGTTCCCATAGTTTAGAGGTTAGGGTCATGCAGGATTTTGTCCACCAACAGTTCCGTGTGTGTGTGTGTGCTTTTTGTCTGGTACAAGTAGGGTTAAAAGGGGACTTGGGCTTTGGGGGTTTAGGGTTTAAGGGTGCAGGGGTCTAGTTTTTAAGGTTAGGGTTTGAAGTTTAGGGTTTGGGGGAGTTTCCCTCATCCTCCAAGTATACAAATCGCACCTCCTTTGGGATCTACAGTCTTTAAATGTCTTTAATTCATATCGGGCTTAAGCGGTTTGGAGCTCATGGTTCTCTCAGGCTATGTCTCTATTGTTACGGGTCCTTTTCCCGCTGAGAGTTCGACGTCCGGAGGCTTGACGGTTTAGGGTTTGTTAGGCGTGGTGTGTGGTTTGGCGTTCAAGGTTTAGGGTGTTCGCTTTGGGGCTTCGGCGAGCCGTTGAGCCTTTAGATTCAGTGTGGGCTTCACCCCCCCAAACTCCATCATGACTGACGCAGCGTTCTTTCCCAAAGGCTCCACAGGTTTGAGTATCTGCGTATATGGTATCCAGAGCTTTGGGTAATTTTTGTATATGGTCTCCTCGCGAGTTAAGAGCCTTCCGGTTCAGGGTTCGGGGCTTCAAGGGTGACCTCGCAACTACTGCTGCATGACGGGCGACCGTCGGTTTTTCCGAAGTGACAGCACCACAGAGATAAGAGTTCAAGGCTGGGGACTTAGGGTTATAAGGTTTAGGGCTGTAGGGTTTATGCTTTAAGGGTTTAAGGTTCAGGGCTTTTAGGGTTTATGCTTTAAGGGTTTTTAAGTTTTATTTGGGGTTTATGCTTTCAGGGTTTAGGGTTTCGGTTTAATTAGGGCCTAGGATTTAGGATCTAAGGGCTTGCAGCGGCCAGAACTTGACAACACCAGGGAACTGTACACTCCACCTTGCGGAGCTTCAGCCCACCCCAACCCCAAGTCACCAATCGTTTTAAGGATTCATTTAAGGAAATCATGCTCGGGAACCCTATCTTAAAAATAAGCAGGCATCACATCCCGGTGCCGCATAGAATCTTAACCCTTCTGGCCGGCCTGTATGATACGCCGCAGGCCAGCCGCATCCAGGGAAAGGGCTCGATACGTCGTCACACGCCCGAGGGCACCTGAGTCTGAGCTTTGTATCTATCGGGTTCCGTTCGCATTTTGGTCTCGGGCTTACCTTGACTCTACAATGTAGACCTTGTTTCGATAACTGAGTTTTTTAATTAGCATCCTGGACTAAGAAGCTAAGGCAACCAAAGAAGGTACTACAGTTTGGGGTGTAGGTAGCGCCCAGATTCCTAGATTCTTAGGTTCAAAGTTAAAGTTTCGGGTGATTGAAGAAACTCGGACACAGAAATCAGGGTGCAGTCCGCGCCTAAGGTGTAAACTTACGATGGACTCCTCCATGCTTGACCTAAACAAGGGCTCTCATGAAGGATCGAAGCAAGATCTCATCAATCACCTCCAGGCCCCGAACCTCCCGAGCCCTCAGCCGCACCGCAAACCCCTAAACTCCAAGCCAAGCCCCCTAAACCCTAAACCCGTTTAGAAGTTCAAAAGTTAAGGGCAAAAACTACACCAATAATAACCCTGACCCGGAAAGCCGATGCACCCACAGGCATGAGTTCCTTCTTGTAATTATAGCATAGCGGGCCCCACAACCCTATTCTAATTATTAAGGCCCCCTTTTTTATAGTACCCTTATGGATCCCTTCTTTGACCCTTTTAAGGATCCCTTTAAAGGAACCCAAGGCCTCTATATTAGAGTACCCTTATAGATCCCCTTTTGACCCCTTTAAGGATCCCAACAAAAGGAATATTATAGTACCTTCTGACCCCTTTAAGGATCCCCTTAAAGGAATACTAAAGTACCTTTTGACTCCTTTAAGGATCTCTTAAAAGGAACGAAATAAGCCCCAAGGCGGCGGAGGCGCGGGCAAATCCAGCGAAGGCCGACTCGGGGCTCTTCGGAAGCTCGTGGAGGCCAGTGACCCACTTGATGAACCTAGGGGTTTAGGGTTTAGGGCTTAGGGGTTTAGGGTCGAGGCTTTAGGGGTTTGGGCTAATTAGGGCCTAGGGGTTTAGGGGACCCACTTGATAAACCTATATAGATGTTTAGGGCTTAGGGCTTAGGGTTTTAGGGTAGAAAGGAATGACATGTAAGTGGTTGTCAAAATTAGGGTCCCTTTTTGGGTACCCTAAATATTCGGTGCCGTATTATTATAGGGACCCAAAGAGGGACCATAATTTTGACAACCACTCATATAGATGTTTAGGGTATAGGGCTTAGGGATTAGGAGTTTAGGGTTTTAGGGTTTAGGACTTAATGTTTAGGACCCTAAACCTTAACTTAGTATTCAGTAGAGAATGCATTGCAAAGATCTACCCCTACCCTGTTCGTTATGTTCATTTTGGTTTAAGAGTGTTTCCGCAAGCACCCAGGAACTCCCGCCAGCGCGTTCCCACACCGGGCCATCGCAGCACCGGGATCAGGTGTGACACCTACAGGAGGGTCCAGTTGATGCTCTGCTGGCGTCCTATGGTGTGTATATATATATATATATATATACTGGTTGATTGATTGATTGATTGGTTGAGTGATTGATCAACCAGTCAGACAGATTGATTGACTGATTCATTGATTGTAAGGTCTAAAGGTTGCTTTTGGCTTTAAACATGTCTTGGTTTAGGGTTGTGGCTTCAGTAGAGCTTGCGGTTGTAGGTCATCCCCCGTGCAGCAGCACCACAAGCACGTTAGAACCCCCCGTTTTCCTTATGCAGGGTCTATATTCTTGAGGGAGCTTGATTCAACAACAGGAGCTGTGGCTTCCCCTGAAGACGACCCGTCCGTTGCAGGACCTATGATTGATGTGCAAAGGGAGGGACGGAGTGAGTTTCTTTTGAATCCAACCTCGCCTTGCTCTCTGCGAAAGCTGCGAGCATCGCGCGGGCTTCGTGCTCGTTGTAGTCCAAGACCAGCCTCTCTCGGGTGACCTTATCGTGGTCCAGTGGTCGCCGCGACAGCATCCATTGAATTTCCTCGTCCGCAATGCCTTCCTCGCATCTTCCAGCATCGGCATCATCGGGCCAAAGTGCCGAGATATCGACCAGGAAAGCTTCTGGAGGCTCGTCCAAAGCCGGCATTGCTTCCCCTCTTCAAGCAGGCTGTAACGCAGATTCCTTGAGCCCCTGCGACGTTAACAGCAGCCATGTCTGCGGCAAGTGAACATGAAAGTGTGTTCACAGGCCCTGGGTGGAAAGGTAGCCGCTCAAGGAGTCTCTTCGCTTTTGTTGCCGGTCCCACGGAGTCCTATGACGCCTTACGACAAGCTACAATTATCTGAAAAACAACTCCGTCGCTTGCGATCGGATGTAACTAGGACTGGGACTGCCGTTCGCCAGACCTGAACCCCATAAACACCAGAGCATACCCCGGAAGCCCAATTAGATAGTGGGTTGCTGTGACTCAAAATATTTCTGAATGTTGTAAACCTGGTATTGGCCAAAACCGGTAACTGGGTTCTCCCTGACCCAACGTCGTCCTGCGCCTGCTCCGCATGCCCGAAGAAGGATGTCAGGCTGCGCGTGATGGTCTCCTCCAAGGCTCCAAACTGTCGAAGTTTCGGGGTGTTCAGTGGTTCCAGCTTAAGCCCAAATATCCTACCCTGTTCAAGGACTTATATAAGGAAATCACAATAGGGAACCTGAAAAAAAGATCTTACAGGGTCCAGGTAGGGTTTAGGGTTGAGGTTTGGGGAAGCTTAAAGCTCGCTTTTGAAGGGCCTTGAAGGGGTTTGAGTGTTTTGGATGTCTTTGGTGTGCTCGGATCGATGAAGCTCTGGGATTTACACTTGAGGGTTTGGGCTTGCTCGAACCACATGCAAGTTGCGGTTGGGACCGTACAGTGCTGGCCTGAGAGTTGTGGTGCGGATAAACCAAACGAAGGAGTTGCATAAGTGTGGACAGAAGCATCGATACTCAGCAAGAATAGCAGCACTGGCCCAGACGCATGTGATGACAGAAGCAAGCGGTACTTGCAATGACCACACTTTGAACACCGGAAACGGGAGACTGTGATATGTGGCAAAAACACGGATGTCACTGTTTAGATAGACCGGAGAACCCACACATAAAGATAACGTCAGCACTGGGGGGTGGGAGACCCTAAAGCCTTAAAGAAACCCTTAAAAAGAACCCTACATTCTATATACTATATGGTAGTTTCCGAAAATAGGGGATCTCAATATAGTACCCTAAATAGTAGGATCTTTACTATAAGGACCCCATAATGCGGTACCCCTAATTTTCGGAAACCCCCATGTAGGTGCTTGGGACCCCTAGGGTTCGATAGAGACATCACCCTAAACCCTAACCCAGAGAGCCCAATACCCCTTAATTAAGGAATGCCTAGGGTTCCTTAAAAGGGCTCCTTAAAGAGATCTATAAAGGGGGTCTATAAGGGAATTAAGGAATATGGCTTAAATTATAAGGGGGCGCATAATATGATTTAAGCTATATTCCTCAATTAAGGGGTATTGGGCTCTCTGGGAAGCCCTGTCACCCCCAGCCTCCTTCTTTTGCTTCTTCTTCGGCGGGTCCTTCTGAGGCTCCTGGTGCACTCAGGCAGGCAGCTTAGGGTTTAGGGTTAAGGGTCTTGGGTTTATTGGGTTATGGTGTTTAGGGAGTTTAGGGCCTAGGGTTTGGTGAAAGATATACCGTAATTTGTACCCTAAGCACGAACTTGACAAACACGAGGGCCCTATCGGAGTCTACGTTGCGGGCAGCTCAAGCTTTTAAACTTCAGGGCGAGGGTTTGGGCCCCCTGGCCACCCAAAAAGGCTCCATCTGATTTAAAGTCTTCTGCAGCGGACTGCTACATGATGCAGACGTCCCTGATGAAGAGCTCACCTCACTTGATTGGATATGATCATGATAAGGGTCCCCATGTAAATGCCCTTAGAAGGGGCGGGGGTTCCGCGAGGTATCTGTTTTCACAGCCTCCTGATTTACATGAGGTCAGTCGCAAGCGTGCAATTCGAAAGAACTGAACGATCGTCTGTGGCTCGTCGAGCCGGTTGAAGCCCTACGATACTTCGAGGTTCCATGAGTCACCACATGTGTCTCCATGAATAACAACATGAGGTTATATGCAAGGATACACGCATAATCCACATTGAGTCGGACTACTCTACACTCGGTCATGACTTTAAACTACTATACATCTAAACGACCGACAACTCAACGCTGCCGGAACTGGAACCGAATACCACAACTGGTTATCCAGATATCCAACACACTGCACCCTTTGGGCCAACGGATCTCCATGGAATGCGGCCTTGGCAACTCGCTTCGTGGAGCCTTTGGTGGAGGGACCTCGTGGCACAACAGCGCGATCTCCACCCTCGATTAGGGTTTAGGGTTTATTGTATTTGGGTTACAGTGAACCCTAAACCGTAAACGTAGACCCCAGCCCCAAACCCCCTATTGCGTGCTCTTCGCTTCAAAGTGAGAGGGCCGACATTGGATCGACCTGAACTGCCTCGGGGTGAGTGGGAAGTAAGGCCTACCGCACATTTCCAAGGATTCAGGTCTAGGTTTTGGGGGGATTGCGGGTGCGTTTGCTGAGCAAAGAAACCCTTGGAAGCCCAGACCCTCAACCCCCCAAAAGTAATTCCTAATGAGACTATGGTAGATCCTTTCAAGGAGCCCTAACCCTAAACCCTAAATCCTGGACTAGAGGCCTCTGTGGCTTTCCGATCGTGTGTGCGGCCTTGTAGTTCACATCTACGCGACCCGAATTAAGGAGAACGGCAACTATGATGTCGGGTGCCCTCGGCGCACTGAGATCTGGCGAAGAAGATCCTCTCTTGCAACTGACTTCGGCACCCCTAACGCAGAACATACACTCCAAACCCTGAACTCCAAACACAAAGCCCTAAAACTCAAAACATTAAACCCCAAACCTCAAGCCCTAAAGCCTCAAGCATAAACCTAAACTTAACCCCAAAACCTTAGCCCTTGCCTGGAGCATCTCTCCGCTGACCAACCGCTTCGGCATCAGCCTGTTCTCATGGGTTTAGATGATAGAGGGCCTTCTTGGATGATACTAGTTGGAGAATCTGAGGAACCAGAATTCGGGTTCCTTCACGGGGATGATAGTAGTAGAGGAAGAACCAGGATTGGGTTCCTTCAAGAGCTTAGGGTTAAGTGGGTTCTGCATCATCTTTTCAGGTTTGGGCGAGAGACGGCCCCTTAAGGATCAGAGTTGGGACCCTTGTAAGTTCTGCAAGTCGGAGGCCTCAAAAGGTGGGGTGAAGGTAGGTGGCATATTCCCAAATAAGAGTCCTTATATAAGGGATCCTTTATCCTACCTACCTTCATCCCACCTTTTGAGGCCTCCGATGCAAGACGGGCTGGAGGCTGTAAAGCGCAATGTTGGAGCCTGCATACCGTCAGAAGGGTTTTTTGACCCCAGCCAGACTAAGTAGTACTGTCTGCACCGTTGTTGAACCAGAATCAATCTATCGCCTTGGGCGAACTCCTAATCCTAAGACTACTAGAAACTGCGGCGATAAGGGATTCGTGCGGGTTTAGGGCGAGGGATTCAGAGAGCCCAATACCCCTTAATTAAGGAATATAGCTTGAATCATAATGTGAGCCCCTATATAATTTAAGCCATATTCCTTAATTCCCTTATAGACCCCCTTTATAGATCTCTTTAAGGAGCCCTTTTAAGGAACCCTAGGCATTCCTTAATTAAGGGGTATTGGGCTCTCTGGGGATTCCGAGTCCGGCTGGGCCTTTGTCTCGCTGGTGGCCGGCGCTGACCCCTGCAGCTACCCAGAGACTCCAACATCCCTTAATTAAGGAATATTCCTTAAATTATACTACCCTTAATTAAAAGGAATACTCCTTAAATTAGATTACCCTAATTAAGGAATATTCCTTAAATTCTATTAGGGATCCTACTATAGTTATAGGTATATTCCTTAATTCAGGGATATTGGAGTCTCTGGGTAGCAGGGAATTAGCAGGAAGGCTCCGGGCTGGGGAATTGAAGGTCCTCAGGCTGTGAAGCTGGAAAGCTTCAACAAATTGGGCCTAAATGTCAAGAGCCGGTCAGAGGAGTTTGGGTTTAGGACGGCTGGTGCCCAAGCAGATAAGTGGATCTTTTTAGGGTTGGCTAAAGGATTTAGCGTCTAATCGGAAGACTCTTTGCATGTTCAGGCTAACAGGTCTCACGGCTTTGGGACTTAGGGGCGGCCAGCGTTTGGAAGGTTTAGGATGTTATCGGTCTGGCTTATCGCAATGCAGTGGGGAGTGTCCTTCCTTTGGCAAAAGCACCTTCTTCTTCTCTGCTAAATGGTCTCCTCGTGATGAAGACAAGCCTTGGATCATGCTTAGACCCAAAGGCCAAGAGGCTCTCTGTCTAAGGGTTTAGGGTTTAGGGTTTAAGCTCTATTTATGACCGCATTTGGAGGCAGATTGCACGAGAAACCGGGGTGTCGCAGCAAGGCCTGCAATTCACCCAAAATCGTATACCGAATAGCTGAAACCTAGGTGGCCCGTTCCATAGAAAGGGTCTTGAGAACATGATCGAGTCACAGAGCAATAGAGGGTCTCAGGGTTTAGTTTCCCTGAGTTAAAGAATCTTGGAATCTCTGGACAGCCATCGAGCCTGCAATTGCTTGTGCATCTCCTCGAGAAGCTTGATTCCTGTTGGCCGGTTCTCCTCCCAGCCGGGTTTAGGGTTTCGTTCTAGGGATGTGTTGCTGAGCTATTCACGAATATAGCTGCTACGATTAACAAACAGGGGATCCGAATCTAGACCCCTGAACTGTGCAGCAGGATCTTGCTTAACTACGACGGTGCCTGAAGAAAGACTCCCCACTTCTTACGCATCATATGATGCTCTAGATTCACCGGGACCACGACAAGTCCCCAAAAGGGGTTTGAGTTTCGGGCGGCCGGGTCCCTCATATAGCCTAAGCTCTACAACGCTTCAGTGCCCGGATCGGCAAGGAGTAGAGAGTTTAGAGTCTTCCCCCCTCTCTCCTGCGGAACCACCTCTGGGAAGAGATTGCAGAGCCTGGCGTAAGGAAGGGGTAGGGCTTCCACGGGATTTTGGGGCTTAGCACGCCTTCCCATGGAGAATTTTGGAGTTTAGGCTTTACCGGTCTCTCTCGTGTTCAGGGCTCTCAGGCTGGCACTCGGCGGTAGTAAGGTTTAGAGGTTTAGGGTTTCTGAGGTGCACTGGCCATTTCGAGCCTCACCCCTGTGGTCTTTGGCTTTACGGCTAGATGCAAACGCCTCATCAATAAGGACTCTGATTCTGATGGGGGTCATCATCCTGAGAACTCTGGGAAACTTTAACTGACGGTCCTGATATATGGGACCCTTAAAGTTACCTACTATAGGGGCCTTAATAAGTAGAATAGGGTTTGGGGCCAATTATACTATAGTTTATAATATGGAACCTCAAAAAATGGTACAGGTAATTATGAAGGCCCCTACTGTATTATCTAGCCTCATCCCACCTTTTGAGGTCTCGGAGGGTTGCGACCCTAGGCCCTAAACCCTCAGCGCAGTTTGTCGATCGGGGTCTACATTGGGGCACACGCGAGCTCTCCGTCCCTCTCCAGCTAACGAAAAAAAGCACAGGGCTCAACAAATATGTCCTCGAACAAGTTTAAGAGGATTCGGGTACAAACAACAGCTGCAAATGCAATGGCCCCATTGCTGCGATGAAAGGGTAACTAGCTGTGACTAGCCAAAGAGACAACATGCTACACAGACGTGCGCACATATGTACAAAAACATGCCGCTCCGAACAGGCACAGCTGGAATATGCATGGCTGAAAATTATTCCGCGTACGGGAAACCGTGGTAATACATATCCTCAACCCTAACCCCGACAAACCGGAAACGGTGGGCCCCAAGCCCTAAACCTTGAGCCCTAAAGTCAGCTGCATCCTGTAGACTCCAGGCGCTCTGTGCAAACGTATCCCGATCATCTACACTGGCCTCAGGGTTTAGGGTTTAGGGAATACACTGGTGTTCAAGGTTTAGGGTTTAATTAGGGAAGGTTTAGGGTTTAGGGAACGAGGCTGGAGAAAATATAGGTTTTCACGGACCTCACCCTGTAAGCCCGAACCTCAAACCCTAAACCGATAAACCCACCGAACCCTTTTCTTCACAAGAGCCGCTGCAATGCACTGAAGCGCTAAGCCCTACATTCCATATGGGTGGTTGTCAAAATTACGGTACCTTGTTGGGTCCCTATTATAATACGGCACCTAATGTTTAGGGTACCCCAAAAAGGGGCCATAATTTTGACAACTACCCATATAGATCCATGACAAAACCCCCTAGTCCTAGCCTGGATCTTCTTCGGGAGTGTCTCTTGCTTCCTGAAGCTGAGTGCGAGGCTTTGTGGCCACATGGGGCATCTCGCCCTGCAGGAATCTCATGGTGTGGTCAGCCTCGGCTGGGAGAGCTAGAGTTTTCTTTGGGAGATCTAGGATTTAGGATTTAGGGCTCGTATGGATATCAGGGGACGACAAAGAGAAACTCTGCGGTACCTTCGTTTCTGGCCCGAGCCCTCCCCAAGATACGGAAAGGGCCCCAAGATACGGTACCCCTAATTTTCGGAAACGCCCATGTAGTTGCAGAATGAAACTGTGCTTGCACCTAGACCGGTCTGGAGATCCCTACAACCGAAACCCCTAAAGCCATCGAAGCCTGACCTTGTCAAAGACTAAGGGCCCTATAGTAGAAGCCAGAGAGTTGGAACGTGGCTTTGGAAGGATTAGTGCTAGGATCCCTTATACTTTACCTTAAGGGTTTGAGGACCATCATGTTCCAACTTTCTGGCTTCTGCTATATTTAAACCAGCATAGGAGCCCTTATAGTGACCCTTCTTGAACGAAGCCACCGTGGAAGCTTATGACAGCATTAGAAGGCCCTTGTTGCAGTTGTAGCCCCGCCCACGGCCGAAAGCTCGGCCCCTGGCGGTGACCGTCTTCTTGAACAACTCAGTTTGCGGCGTTAGACACCCTAAACTCTGCCTTAAGCCCAAATAACCTACCTTGTTAAGGACTTCTATATAAAGAAATTATTAGGTTCTTCAGGGTTAATACGGTAAACCCTACGAAGGCTTGGAGCTTGGATGAGTTCAGGCGCGGGGTTTTAGGAGTTGAGAGGCTTAAGGCGATGAAGTTAGATTTAGGTGCAGGTTTGCGGGCTGGCCTGGTTTGCATGTACGGGATTGAAATGATCTGGGACAAGTAATACTTTAAGGGCCACAAAATCATATGAAGAAGGATCTCGTTAAGACAAGACCATGATAACTTGAAAAGTTTCGGAAATGAAACCACGGATCGTAATAATATTCATTCCTGGCCGTTGTAAGCACCATTATCGTCGCACGCACTGTATATTACATGATTGTAAATCGTATTTCACGGGGCTTACCGATTGGAAATAACATTCCACAGGGTTCCGTAATGTAATTGCGGTAAGATATACCCCTGAAAACCATGTTCTGATTTTTTGAGCGCCCCATAACAAGCCCCTTCACCCTTAAAGGAACATTTTCTTAAAACTTTGGTCTTAGGCACTGGGGACCTCCCTGCATAATGTGCACATGGTACAGCGATATCAATACATGGGGGTTGGGGGGGGTCTGGAAGTAGATCAGCGGGAAGGACGGTTGAGTGTACGCCGCATTTACAGACCCCACGCCGCACTCTAAACCCTAAACCCTGACCCCAAGCTCGAAATATCTCGAAATACTGAAACATAGCGGGGACTTTCTCAGTCCGGAGCATGTGCCTTCCCCTTGGCCTGGCCATGGTAGTCGCTTGGGGTCAGAGGTCTGTGCAATCATCACAAGATCTGAGTTCACTCATATCAGCCAGCACTTCATCGAAAAAAGCGAGCTCTGGGAGCCGATCTTCATCATCCCACAACTACAGCAAGCAGCCACGGCTGCTGCATCATGTTCATCATCAGAGGAGCTGTGCTAGCTTCGACGAGGGGCTTCCTCAATTCACACTCATAGAAGTACTGCACTTTCCTATGAACGAGAAACGAAGTTCACAGGAGCCAAGTCATCATGTGACTCGTCAGCGGCGCATGAGCTTTTCGAAGGGGAACTGTCTTCTTGACTCGAAGCAGTTCGCGCCTGCACCTCCAAGAAGGATAAGCCACGGGTGCAAAGCAACCCTTAATCCTACCTGGACTCTGAATACCCCACCCTTTTTTAAGGACGTATACAAGGAAGTCATAACATCGAACCCTACAAGGGTAGTTTCAGGCTCCAGGTACACTAATCTCACTTTTCCTTGACTACCAGCCCGGCATACCTGGAGTTTCGTTTGTAGCTGTAGTTCCTTTCTGGGGCTTACCATTAGGACGTCTGGGATCGTAAATTTTAAACTTGGTTAAACCTAACAAAGGACTACAATGGAGACTATAGGTGTGTGTGCGCTCTTGGCGGGGATAATGGGTACATGGGTTTGTCTTCCGTTTCAATAAGCAAGTTCGTGCGGTTAGTCAACTGGATTCGAGCAGCTGGCCATGCGGCTAGAACTTATGCAGCATTTAAAACAGGGTCCTCTAAGGCCTCTGTAGGAGGTCTATAAGGGTTACGCTTTAGGGGTTTGAGGAGCTAGCCCGGCTTGGACCTTGGTATGGCCATGACATACAAGGGTATGTAGGGTTGAGGATTTAGGGTTTAGGATTGTGTCCATTCGACAAGGGTTGGGGTTTAGGGTCTATGAGTCTAGGGTTGAGCGGGATCCTCAAGCAGAAACCCTGACACCCAAGAAGCCTCCTGCCTGAAACCCTAAAGCGCGTTTCTCGGCGCCTTTCTAAAAGCGAATAGTCTCGGGAGGTATTATAGTATATATACAGATAATGTGTAAGGAACCCTAGAGAACCATCCTGGAAATTCTTCAGGCTTCTATATAAACCCTCACAAACGAAAGCCAAAACATCACTAGCACAAGAACACACCAGCAAGGCACCACGAGGCTTCACCAGTCCAAATGGCCTTGATGTGGTTCTCAGTCTTCAACTGCAGGCGACAAAACATCGCAGGCTCGCTTTATAGCGTGAACTCGTGTGGGTTGGGTGTTGGCCTTAGCCTAAGTAGCTCAACGTAGGGACGTCGTGGGAACCCCCGAAAAGATCCCGATAGAATCGGGATTGAATGCATAGGGGGCACTGGTCCTTTAGCATCCACCAACCCTGAGCCCTGAAAACCCCATGCCTCGAACCTGAACCCTAATTGTCTCGAGCCCTGTAGAGGGAGGGGGGCTCTGGCCCGAAAACGGGAGATGCAGGACATGATGGATCCCTCCTTTCCATGCAAAGAGTTCGAGTTGTTGAAGCCTGTATTGGGACATGTCGCGATATCCGCACATAAGAAAATGAAGATTGCAATACATATGACCAAAGTTACAAGTAGTTGTCACGAGCATGGTAGCTACTATTGCTTCTGCCAGTACCGTATCAGTATCACGTCTCGGATCCAATCAACAGCTGTAGATATTTCTAGGACGACCTATCCACCCTATACGACCTGCATGCGACGCCACTGGACTGAAAGTTGAAAAGATTCTGGCGCCCTGCCGGAAACATGCAACCCGAAATTGTACACCCCCAAACCCTCAACCGTACATCCGAAATGCCTAAGCCGTTCCAGGCCTCATTAAGCGACCTCTCCACCGCGTACAACGTAAAGACTTGCCACATGCGGTTGAGGCCTCCAGTATGCGCTTTAGATTTTAGCACATGGTATACGGGGTTTAGGCTTTGGGGTTCTATAAGGGTACATAGTTTGGTTTAGGATCTAGGGCTGAGGGCTGGAGGAGAAGGCTTGTACCTCTGGGTTTAGGTAGGGGTTAGGGTTTGTAAGTTGTAAGGGCTTAGGGCTCAAGGGTGTACGGTTTCGGACTTAGGAATGCGACCCTTTGGATTTCCGTTTGTTTGAAGTTGCACGCAGCCAAAGGTGTTCAGATTTACGACAATGACGGCATCTTTCCTCAAAGACTATACTGTAGCGGCCTCGAATAATTAGGAAAGGGATTTAAGGTAAATATAAACGGAACTATAATGTGCAAGTGCATTGGTACGAATTAGTCGGTTCAGCTCCCTATATACGCACTGGCAGGCTTTAGGGGCCTGTTTCAGCATTGGATAGCATGACTGCACGGAGGCCCAGATAGGTTGGCTCCATATCATTTCGCTCACGAGGTGGGGGCTGACAGAAATTGAGTCGGCTTACTGGTGTAGTATCAATCTGTAGCAGTATAGCAGCAGCAGTATAGCAGCAGCAGGCATGAAACGAAAACAATTCTTATTATGACCGATAACTTGGGCATAATGGGGGTTTCGCTTGAAGGGCCCTAAACCCCATATCACGAAGCTCCTCAGATCCCTGCTGCATTCCCTTAGCCGCAGGCCGGCAAGCGCATCCTGACTCCATCGCGCCGACGGCACGGCATTCCTGGCTAGTGCGTCCACTTATCACGGGTTCGTTTCTGACGGACCTTAAGGGGCTGGCTTTGCACGGGGATGCTGACTGTTAAAAGGGATGATTCATTTGTTTGCTGACAAAAGGGTCGAGGGATTACGGCCTTAGGGTAGGCCTCTTAAGGTGCTTAAGAGTGCAGTTTTGTGTAGGCATCGTTTCTGAAACGATGTTCAGAGCGTGCTTTCGAAATGGAGCTCTTCAAAAGATACCAAAAGCCTTGTCACTGTCTTGAAGTCACCCCGAAACCCTATAAACCCTAAGCCCTAAACCCTAGCTGCCGGGGCTGAGTAGCAGCCTAGGGTTATCGTCTCCATGGTAGGTTTCTTGGAAGGGTTGCTGGTGTCGGGCTTCATGTTTAGGGCTTGGGGTTTAGGGGTTTACGGGTGTAAGGTTTAGGGCTTCATCTTTCCGTGATAGTCCCCAAATTAAATTAAACCCCATAGACCTTCCCCAAGCCGTATATCCCTTATATACGAAGTGCGCACCTTTTCTGAGGAGGCTCCGCAGTAAGAGTGACGCACGAGAGCCCTAAACCAGCGAAAGCCTGCAACTATAGTGATCTGAGGGTTTAGGGTTTAGGCAACTTCAGGTTACGCAGCTTTGCGTGGGCTGAGAGTTCAAGACGCTCCTTTTATCATGCAAGACTACAAGCATAAGTCACAATCATGACGCAAGACTCCGTCAATGATGAGACGACTATAAGAGCAATAAAATGGACAGTGTTCGACAACACAACAACAATAATCATTATCATAAAAGCAACACGTAAATTTACTATTATTACGATTATTACTATTATTACCATTAGTACTATTACTATTATTATTACTATTATTAAAAATTAAAAGAGCAATACTCGCAAACCTCTGACCTCCGAGGAGGCTGGAGTCGAACCTGCAAGACTCTCCAAAAAACTCAGTCGTCGAAGTCGTCATACTGCGGAGGCGGCTCATCGTCGTCATCATCCTCCTGGCAATGCAGCATCCGGGTTGTCTACATGCCTTGATAAATTTTGAATAGAGTTTTTGCGTGTTTTGGGAAGAATGCACGTAGTACAATTCGTACCCTATGCTGTTAAAGAGCTCCAGGATATTCCGGCATCTAAGCTCGAATTGTTGGTGCTTGTCCGGGCTTATTGTACCCTGCGCCGAAAACCCTGCACCGAGCAAAACCTCCAAACCCCGTTTGCCCACCCCGCCAAGTAACCAGCAACACATACCATAAGACAGGCTTCATGAGTGGAACCCAGAACCCCATACAAACAGCCCGGAGCCCTGTGCCCTAAGCCCGAAACGACCTGCTACCGAACACCCTGAAAAGCAGTAAAAACCCTAAAAAAGGCCTCAACACCCTAAACCACTGCACCCTACGAACCTCGCCCCCCCCCCCCGTCCCCAACTCGAAGATCCAAGCAGCCTTGTTGTCTCGCTTGCGCTTCTTCGCCTTCGATTTGGCCGCTTTGGCCTTGGCTTCCTCGGATTGTTGTTCCCTCTGGCTTGTGAGTCTCCAGCTTAGGGCTTAGGTAACGGATCCTACCAGTTTCAGGATTTTGCAGGTGTTGCTTGTTTTTTACTGAGGGTGTAGATTTACGTTTCCGGTCGTCTCATGGCGCCTGCGGATCACGTCCGTCAGCCCGCAAATATCGACAGCAACCGGCCTACACCTCTTATCGTGTAAACCGGAGGCCCCAGCATCCGATACTCCAAAGTCCTAAACCGTAACCTGTGCCTTAAAAAGAATAATCTACCTTTTCACGGACTTATACAAGGAAATCATAATAAGGAACCCTAAAACGGTGGGTTATTCTAGGCTAAGGTGAACCCTAAACATTAAACCCAACAAAACATACTTACATCCCAAACAGAGGACCCTAAACCTGAAACATGTGGGTGGTTGTCAATATCATGGTCGACTTTTTTGGGTCCTTCATATAATACGGCACCTAATATTAAAGGTACCCCAAAAGGGATCCTATTTTTGACAACCACCCATGTGCCTTGCAGCTTGGCCTCCAACCGAGCATTGCGCTCCTTCAGCTTAAGCCGCTGCCGGGCGCGCTCCTTCTTCGGTGTAGGTTTAGGGTTTAGGGGTAGGTCAGTCTGTGTTGTTAAGCTTTTAGAAACAGAATTCTGGTTTTGGGTGTGGCATGTAGGGCTGACAGATAGGGTTTGGAGTGGATTTGAGGTTTGCAGAAACAAGCTTCTCTCTCTGAACCCTCCGCCAAATCCTAGACCCAAGCCCTACTCCCCAAACCGCTGAAATAGTTTATTATGTTAGTTTTGTTGTTGGCTTGAATCTGCTCCTGTAGAACTTGCTGCTGCGATGGCGTCTTCGTCAGGAAGCGGTGGTACATCACACCTCTGCTTGGCTTGCAGGAGGACGCTGGAGGTGCGATCAAAACATCGACAGAAACAATGTGACTTCTTTTTCCTACAGAATCTCTGCACGGCCAAATCTGTACTAAGTCTTCTCCCTACAGAATCTCTGCACCGCAAAATCTGTACTAAGCCTGCGAACAACCAGTCCAAGATTGTATGAATAAGTTCTGAAGGCGTGTTTGTTGTCACCAAGCATCGCACTCACAATATTCCGAGAGTGCCTCAACCCTAATAGTATCAACAGTATCAGCCTTCCATCGTACAGGCCTCCAAACAGTAAACTCATCAACTTAGATAATCGACGGAGGCACCGCCCGTGCACACGCCCTCCTCCGCTTTTACCAGAAGCCTCGCGGCTTCTCATGTTGTTTGTTAGGATTTTGTTCTGCTTTGGGAACAATGTTTTCATGGTGCTTAGGGCTTAGGGCTTATCGGCTCATAGGGCTTGTAGGGCTTTGGGATTGCGGCTGTAATTAAGGGGCAAATCGGGAGCGAAAGTGCCTGGAGAATGGGGCAAGGGGCTGAGGTTATCTGCTAGAGAGAGAGAAGGAGAGACTGAATGTAAACCTCAGGATTGAGGGTGACAAAGCTTCGGGGTGCAACTGCGTGGAATGCAGGGACTCGTTTCCCAACATTTTCAGATTCTGGGCCTCTGCTGCATCGTCAAAGGCAGGGGAGGGGAACATGGGACTGTGACTAGGGTCAACCACAGCAAAGCAGGTGTGCCCGAGCCCTGCACCGAATGAGTTTTGCACGGTTCAGAGTTTAGAAAGTCCAGGGTCAAGAAACAAGCCTGCACCAACCCTTAGAGCAACAATTTCCGCTCCCACGTGCTAAAGAACTCGCTATGCTCATGAAGCATACTCCTTGCCCTCTAACATACAGTAGGGGCGTTGATGGTTAGAATAATTAGGGGTTGGGAGTTCGGGGGGTGTAATGCTATAACTATATCGCTGCTATAAGCGACTACATACGCTCCTAGATCCCGACTGCTCCTAAACCTGCTGCAAGCAGGAGGCAGCTTCATTCGCGGCCCGGCTTCCGCAAGCCGCACGGCCACGCGGTTGCCCGAGGTGGTGGGGACCTGTCCCAACTGCGCCGCTGTACGGTATCCCATGACTCTAGGGGCCTGAATATATAGCAATAGTATTCTCATAGTCCTAGCGTAACAATGACTGTTCGTTTCTGGCACAAGTTTCCGGAATTTTCGGGTCTAGCTACAGCCTTAGGGTTTTAGGGGGTTGCGGATTTGGACCCTAAGGATTTCGAGCCCCAGGAGCTCGGGTGAATACAGCCTCCGGCGGACCAAGCATATCAAACCGAAGACGCAAAAAACAAACAGCTGCCCTACTCAAAGCTACATTACATAGATCTCTGCTTATCAACTCTCACCACAAGTCTAAATCTTGTACAGTTCATGAGGCTGCATCTGCACAATGGCTGAGACATGATAACATGATATTGATGTCAGCATGGCTAACTACCAAGCTCCCATCACAACAAACAAACAGCCAGTCCTCTCTAAGCTCTGCCTGCCTTACCTAAGCCCTACAAACCTCTCCCTCAATTAACCCTGAACCCCCTAAGCACAATACCCTACTCCCTCCTGTCGAACTTTTGCACACCATCATTACTAATTACATCCAAACAAGGCCTAACCAAACATCCTATCCCATCATTACTACAACCCACAAAGCCCTAAACAAACATCCTACAACAACGCAAACTTGTTAACTATCATATAATATATACTGTATAATATAACATATAATACATAATATAGTATAATATAGTGTAACATATTATAAAAAACTGCACCACTTTGGCCTCTTCGCCCTCCTCCATCTCCGACTCTGAGGCAGCTCCACCGCCGCCCAAAACGAAGTCAGCGATGTCGCCCTGAACAGAGCCGAAGAGAGCTTCAGGGATTTTAGGGTTTACCTATAGTCTCCATTGTAGTTCCTTTAAAGGGGTTTAGGGTTAAAGGGGTTTAGGGTTCCTTTAAAGGGGTTTAGGGTTCCTTTAAAGGGGTTTAGGGTTCCTTTAAAGGGGTTTAGGGTTCCTTTAAAGGGGTTTAGGGTTCCTTTAAAGGGGTTCAGGGTTCCTTTAAAGGGGTTCAGGGTTCCTTTAAAGGGGTTTAGGGTTCCTTTAAAGGGGTTTAGGGTTCCTTTAAAGGGGTTTAGGGTTCCTTTAAAGGGGTTTAGGGTTCCTTTTACAGGGGTTTAGGGTTCCTTTTAAAGGGGTTTAGGGTTCCTTTAAAGGGGTTTAGGGTTCCTTTCAAGGGGTTTAGGGTTCCTTTTACAGGGGTTTAGGGTTCCTTTAAAGGGGTTTAGGGTTCCTTTAAAGGGGTTTAGGGTTCCTTTAAAGGGGTTTAAGGTTCCTTTAAAGGGGTTTAGGGTTCCTTTTACAGGGGTTTAGGGTTTAGAGTATAGTCTCCATTGTAGTTCCTTTAAAGGGGTTTAGGGTTCCTTTAAAGGGGTTTAGGGTTCCTTTAAAGGGGTTTAAGGTTCCTTTTAAAGGGGTTTAGGGTTTAGAGTATAGTCTCCATTGTAGTTCCTTTAAAGGGGTTTAGGGTTCCTTTAAAGGGGTTTAGGGTTCCTTTTACAGGGGTTTAGGGTTTAGAGTATAGTCTCCATTGTAGTTCCTTTAAAGGGGTTTAGGGTTCCTTTTACAGGGGTTTAGGGTTTAGAGTATAGTCTCCATTGTAGTTCCTTTAAAGGGGTTTAGGGTTCCTTTTACAGGGGTTTAGGGTTTAGAGTATAGTCTCCATTGTAGTTCCTTTTTGGGGTTACCTTTTAGGATCCTTAATATAAAGTTGGTTAAACCAAAAAAGGGAACTACAATGGAGACTATAGGTAGGGCTTGGGGAGCTGTAGGAATATTAGGGTTTAGGGAGCTTCAAGGATTTTAGGGATGTAAGGTTTTGTTTATTTCCAATCTGCTGAGTCAGCTGCATTCGTGCTGGAACGATACTTAGAACCTTAGGAAATGGGAGCGGCAGCAAATGGGACATCAAGAACAGCAGCAGCAGCCGCAATCCACAATTAATCTAGAGCCATCCTTGTGCATTCTCTACCCAAGTTTGCCAAGCCCAATCCAGAATCTCGAAGTTGGCGACACTTCAGTCTGGTGTTAAAAGTTTAAATTCTCCGCTTTAGGGCCTTAGGGTTGGCACCCGCCTTCCTGCCCAAGTTCGGCAACCGGTTGAACTTGGTCAGCTTGCTTACGCCTGGCCGCGGAAACCATCGTCATCATCATTACCACTATCGAAATCTACCACAGAGGACGCCTCGTGGCTGGGATTTGGACCTCACAGGTTTCCCAAACCATGGCCGAATTCGACCCTCCAACCTATACCCCGACCTCACGATCAGCCCGATGAGCCCATGAAGCCCCGAGAAGCCCCGATCCGTACATTGCGGGTGCAGGTACTCAACATCTAGCCAGAGGCCCCAAAGTAGTTCCTTTTGGGGATTACCTTATAGGATTCTATGTACCCCCCAAAAGGAACTACTTTGGGGCATCTGGGTAGCCATGTTGAGGGTTTCAGGTATTCAGGGACGAGGTCCTACGTAGGGGTGCAGAGCAGGGTTTCGGGCCTAGGCTTCACACCATGAGGGATTTGAAACCGTAACCTTCAATCCGAAGAGCCTGACACCCACACGCACCCCCACACGAAATCCCAGCACCTGCAGCCTCGAACCTTAAGCCTTAGGCCCCAAATCCCAAACCCAAAGCATCCTACAGTCTCGAACAAACCCCGGAGCCCTCAAACCCAAACTTCCGCTCAACCCGACCCTCCCTACGAGGAAGCGTAGTAGTAGCAGCAGCTGTCGTCGTCGTAGTTGTGGTGGTAGTAGTAGTTGCAGTTGTTGTTGCAGCGGTAGTGGTACGGGTACCGGTGCTAGTACTGGTACTACTGCTAGTGCTAGTACTAGCTCTGGCACTGGCACTAGTACCCCCAGAATCTGTGTCACGAGCCCACTGAGCACCTCGTTCAAGGCCAGCTTGCTTGCGGCTGACGACCTCAAGGGCCCCATCGGTGCAATTGAGGGTTACTTCTCGTATTGTACGGCTTAGGAATGCGAAGGGAATAACACGAGAAAGCTGCGATGATGATGATGCTGATTATGATCATGCGCTGGCTATCGCGATCCGCAGTCACTGCGAATACTGCTATAAGTTAGCACGATTAGCAACTATCAGCTGGGCACTGATCAAATATAGGTGAGTCGTAAGCCAGTAAACCAGTAAGCATGGCAACGATAGTAATCTTTAGATGAGCCGAGCGAATCCCGAATATCACGATTGGCGAGTGACTGTTTTTCGAGACTCGTGTCTTCCGTCCTACAGCCTAATGCTCAGTCGATTGGGGATGATCGAATATGTGTGCACGGCCACGAACCCCCCGAACCCCAACAAAAATACACCCCCTAACCCTGACTTCCAGCGAATATGTGCTTAGGGCAAGAAGTTTAGGTCTCATTTCCGCGTTTTGATAACCCTAAACCCTAAACCCTAAACTGTCATGCGGTCTAGACTTTGGGGTCCCATTCCACGGTTCCAAAGCTCCTGGCATTCCAAGGTTCAGGGCCTAAGAGACTCGGGAGGCTCAGGGTTGAGGGGTTTAGGGTTTAGGGTATAGGGGTTTAGGGTTTAGGGTTTAGGGTTTAGGGTTTAGGGTTTAGGGTTTGGGTTTAGGGAACTCCACAAGGAACCCAAGCCTGGTGCAAGAGCCCTTCAAATCTTCAGCCTCTCTTTGCTAGAAAAATGCCATAACCAGTCCACATGCATACATACAGTACAAGCCTTAAGAGAAGATAAGGCCTGAACAACACATGCCAACTTTACAGGGGCCCAGACTACCATAACTAGTACACATGAATATACCCTAAACCCTAAGCCCCTAAACCTATAATTTCCAAGCTAAACCAAAGACATAACCTGAAAAAAAAAACATGCCAACTCTCCACTTGCCCAGACTACAGCCTCCCCTAAGCTTTTAAGCCCTGCGGCCTGTACTCAAGGAAACCCCAGCGCTGGCTCAGGGTTTAGGGTTTTTTGTGGGTTATTTTATACCTGGACCCCGAAAGTATGCAGAATAATAGCCTGTTATGGGCATTGGGCCATTATTTTATCTATTTTGGGGGGGGGTTAGGTAGGGGTTAGGGCGGAGGGCAGAAGCTCTAGACTCTAGTGAGGGGAGGCCAAAAGGGGGGTTTAAGATTCTTGGGGTAGCAGGGTTTCTTAATATGATCCCTACTATGGGAACCCTAATCCCTACTAAACTTCCATAGGCTCAAACCCCTTTTGGCCTCCTATGATCTAGAACCGGAGTTCTCCGGGCGGCAAAGTGCCGGAAGAGAATGGCATCACTCTCCCGGTCGTAGTGGAAAAGTGCAGCTCGTCGGCACTCCGCCTGAGGTTGAAACCCAAGGATAAGTGCACAGCCGCACAGGTTTAGGGCTTAGTGGTTTGGGTTCAAGCTCCACGGATGAAGGCCTAGGTTTCATGTTTTCTAATGTTGTGGGGGCGCGGGGTGGTTGGGAAGCTCGACGGTGGGAATGCCTGCATCCGGCTTGGCGGTTCTGCGACCCGGCAGAAACTAGACTCGATGTTTCAAATCAAAGCAGAGTTGGCGGAGTTTTGCCACTGTATTACTACAGAAGTCATCCAAGAGCACTTTTCTGACTCATTTATAGGAAGCTCAACTATGAACCGGCGCTGTGTTTAGGGTTTTGCAGGTTCAAACCTATGGATGCTGCGGAGTCGCAGAGCTGACCTAGATGCGCTTGACCCGGAACCCTGAACCCTACAGTGCAGATCGCGTCTACATGTCGAAGTATATAGACTTGTGCCAGAAGTAGCCGCTTCGAAGTGCAGTGTTTAGAGTTTACGGACTTGAGGGTTTAGGGTTCAGAAGATTGGAACCTCGCATTCAGGATAGAAGAACCGAAGATTCAGGATTTAAACCTGAGGACTTAGGATTGGAGCCTCGGAGTTACAAGTCGGGTGTAGGGGGAATCGATTTTTGTTAAGGGTTGGAGTACACAACCACCCGGGGTATACTCCAACATGGAACCCTTCAAAAGAGTGCCCGGAGTACACAATACCCTTATATGGTGAACCCTACAGTTCCCTTGTAGCTCCGTGGAATTCGTAAGGGGATCCTTCACCCCCAAGGCGAGCCAGCCTGGTTGAAAGTTGGGACGTCGATCGCCGGGAAGGCTCCTCAGCGAAGGATCGGTCGGGCTTAGGGAAACTAGGATACCCAGTAACCTAGGAATAAAAAGGCCTCTCTTTTTGGTATTGTGTAACTTTATAAGGAACCTAGGACTACAACAAGGGAATAAGGGTACTACTGGGCATCCTAGGGAAAGGTTGCTCTAAACATCCGCTCAGGCTTGGAATTCCTTTTTGTTGGTGGGGGGGGGGGGGTTGGGGTTTTAAGGTGTGGGGTTTAGGCGGTTTGGATTCTATTGGGGGTTTAAGGGTTTCGGGACGTAGGGGTGTTCGGGTTTGGCGCTTTCATCAATGTAAGGCCTCCGGGTTCTGGGTTTGATGTCTGTCAACTTAAGGGTTGCTCCGGGTGCAGGGCTTGGTCGATGTCGGTTCTTTTGGGTGTGTAGAGTACTTGTGGGCTTCGGGGTTTCAGGATTTAGGCTTCTTCAGGAACGTATGTGGGAGTTTAGGGGTTTATGGTTTTTATAAATTTTAAATATCGGAATCTTGAAGTACATGGTTCTGTGGATTTGTGTTTAGGGCTGCCGGGTTTTGGAGCCTTGCATCTTATGGGCTTAGGCCAGCATGCAAGATGAGATGCAGCCCAACGAGGCATCCTATCAGCAGCCTTTGCATGCTGTGTGGCCGCTCCTTGTCTTGTTGACGTTGGGAGGGCAACCCCCGGCCCCGACACAAACACACACCCAAGCCCAAACCCTAAACCCCAAACGTTAAATCCCTGAACCCTGAACCCTCTACCCAAGAGTTTCTGTTGCCAGGAAAGCACCTCGCAGCATTTCCGCAATGAGCTTGCGCTCCTGCGCCGTTGTCAGAAACCCTAACTTACAGGGTCTCAAGGTCTTCTAAGCTACTAGTAGGTGTCGATTTCAAAAGTCGCCAGAATTCGTTATAATTAGGGCTCTATATTTAGACAATAAGGGGAAACGAAAACTATCAAAAGCCGATACTTAGTCTTGAAGGGGTTTGGACTTGAGGGCAAGAGTGGGCTATCCTCAACCCTCCTCACCGCAACCCTCGGCCTAAACTCTACGTAAACCCTACACCCTCTGGCCAAACCCCTAAACCCCTCACCCCTAAACCCCTAAACCCTGAACCCCTAGCCCCTAAACCCCCAAACCCCTAAACCGATCTCTAGGCAGCAGCTCCGGCATCTTCATAGTCTTCCCACCACCCGCACCCTCCGGGGCGTCCTGCATGAAGGGGCAAAGGCACAGGCTGCATGGGCTCCTCTTCGGGTTCCTTTAAAGGCATCTTTAAGGGTCCTTTGAAGGGATCTTTAGGGTTCCCTGAATAGGGTCCTTTAAAGGGATCTTTAGGGTTCCTTGAATGGTTACGGGATTTCTTTTGTCGAGTAGAAACTCCCATTAGGCTGGAGCTCAACTACAAAGCAGCACCAAGATCTCTGCAAAACCGAAAACCTCGAAGGGAGCTAGGAACCCGCCCAAAAATGATCAGTCCCAAGATGATCCGCATACCCTCTCTCTCAACCCTACCCTCAACTCCACGTCAGATTCTGCAGCTCCTACCCTAAACTATCCCTAAGCCCTAACCCTAAACCCTAAAACCCTAAACCCTGAAACCCTAAAACCCGAAAACCCTAAAACCCTAAACCCTAAACCCTAAACCCTAAAACCCTAAAACCCTAAAACCCTAAACCCTATAAATCCTAAACCCTACAAGCAGAGCCTTGGGACCGCCCAGGCCATTGAGCACCTTCGCAAGGCAACAGCTGGGGTAGCTTATAAGTGGGCTTAGGGACTAGGGTTTAGGGTTTAGGGGTTTAGGGTTTAGGGGTTTAGGGGTTTAGGGGTTTAGGGGATAAGTTCCTTAAACATGAAAATAGCGACAGTTACCTGAGTTGTCACCCCACTTATGCAACAGCTGGGCCAGGAGGGCTAAAGCCCAAGGCTCGATGTGCCTTTCTAGTGTATACTTAGGCCTTAAAGTACCCATATAGGGACCCCGTTAAGGCTTAAGTATCTACTGTAAAGGTACATGGAGTCTTTGGGAAGATTGGCCTCATGAAAAGTTAGGGTTGCGATTTTAGGATTAGGGTTCAGAGATTAGGGTTTCGGAATTCAGGTTTAGGCAGACAGGGTTTAGGGAAAAATTAAGGATATTTTTAATGCCATGGGCCTTTCGCTCTGCACTCACAGTTAGGGTTTAGGAATTCGTGCTGCAGGAGATCACGACTCCAAGTATTCAAACAATGCCTACTTTGGAAAAATGGAGTCTCAGGGGACGGCTGTAAAGGGCCCATAAAGGTTTGCATGGCTTCATAAGGGCTTATCTACTTTGTAGAATCGAGATTTGCTTTGGTTTTAAAGTTTAAAGTGTTTCATAAGACTTTATCGCATGGTTCAGGGCATTTGGGGTTAGGGAACGCGATGACAACGGCGATTGCAGTAGCTTTTGCTATGCCTATGCATTGCCACTGTTTGTTTGCAACAAACAGCCACTCTAACTTCTGATCCTCCGATCTCTTCTGACACAGACTTCATCTGTAGCCCGCTAATTACGCCCGACAACTGTATCTGTATAAACCGCAAAACACTACCAAGCCTAAACCCTGACATCCTCAAGCAGTGAAACATCCTAAAACATTCAGCTTCAATCCTCACGACCTGAAATCCTAAAGCTCCTAATGTAGGGGCCTCAATAATTAGAACAGGGCTTTAATATAATACGGAACCCCCAACATAGTATAGGCAATTATGAAGGCCCACTATATGTTGAACCCTAAACCTGCCCTCTTGCGCTAAGCTTGGAGGCCTCAAAAGGTGGGATGAAGGTAGGTAGGATTAAGGATCCCATATATCAGCACTCTTATTTGGGATTACCCCACCTACCTTCATCCCTCCTTTTGAGGCCTCCGATTCCTGCGGACTGAAAGCCTCATAAAGCTCTTGGGGTGATGATACAGTAAAACCTAAACCCCAAGTCAGTCCCAAGCCCCTAAGCCCCTAGGCGCTTTTGAGGCCCCTGATGAGCCTGCAGGGGCGCCGTGGTAAAGTCCCGAGCAGCGCCTTTCGGCCTCTTCGGAACCCGTTTGAGGCTTCATCGCGCTTTGGGGTTTGCAGTTCATGGTGTACCTTAACCCGGAATATCCTACCTTTTTTAGGAGTTATGTAAGGGAATCATGACAAGAAACCCCAAAAGGGTAGGTTAAGGTAGGGATTATAGGGATTTAGGACTTAACTTAAGGTTTAGGGCACTGCGGCTTTATAGCTTGGGGTTTGGAGTTTCGGTGCGGGGATTAGTAGATTTTCTTCTTAACGATTAATGCGCAGTGCAATTTGGCTTGGGCCACTACAGGTTTGCAGCTCCAGCGTTTTAGGTTGAGGGTTCACGCCTTGAGGGTTTTCGGGTTTTTCGGAAACTCCCACATGACCACTCCTGAAAGTCCCTACCTCCGAAACTTCGGACATCTCTGACTGCCCAGACCCCCAAAAGGATCTATAGAAAGTAGATCCCCTAATTTGGGGCTATGCTACTAAGGTACTTTCTAGGAACCCCCCCCATTAAGGGATCTGCTTTTCGGATCCTCCCAGGGGTCTGGGTGGCTCCTACGAAATCCTACTCACAGAAAAACACCAACTTCCCGGATCGTCGCTTCGATAAAAGGAGGTCAGACCAGCAGGCCCAAAGGCACCGAGCCGAAAACTCCTAAACACCAGCAAGCACCTTAACAAGGACCCTTCTTAACGCTTAAACTCGAACCCCCTAAACCCATAAACCCCAAACCCATAAACTCGAAAACCCTAGCCCTACCCTAAGGCTCCAAAGTAGTTCCTTTTTGGGGTTCATATATAGAATCCTATAAGGTAATCCAAAAAAGGAACTACTATGGAGCCTCTGGGTAACCCCATGAACCCTAAACCCCGCGAACAAGGTGCCCTGATGTCTGAACACATGTTCTAGACCCAAGAGTAACCCAGGCATAAAAAGGATGCCCTTTTTGGTTTTAAGGGGCTTATAAGGGAACCCGAACCCTAAAAAAGGGAACAAGGGCCTACTCTAGGTCCTAGCCTGATGTCTGAACACATCTTTGATTACCAGGCCTCTTCTGGGAGGCCTTGACCTCCCGCGCAAGTGTGAAGCCTTCGGTTTAGGGTTTAAGGTTTAGGGGTTTAAGGTTTAGGGTTTAAGATTTAGGGTTTAGGATTTAGGGGTTTAGGGTTTAGGGTTTAAGGTTTAAGGGCAAGGTTGCAAGAAAAGTGATCTACAGGGTACCTCATGGGTGACTTCATACTACTTTGAATAGAGTACGGTATGGGTGTATCAGGACAACAAGGGGAATGATTGCTTTACTACTTTGTCCATTTATGTATTGCGTCTTACAGCTCCTCAAGCTGCTAGGCCCTCCGAATACTGCCATTGCTAGTCTCATCCGTTCCCGTGATTAGGGGGTTTGGCGATCGAGAACAACCTCCTAAGCCTAACCCCTAAACCCTAAAACCTAAACACTAAGACCTAAACCCTTAACCCTGAACCCAAATCCAAGCAGCTGTCCACTCGGAAAGTCAGCGTCGGGCCCTGCGGCAACCTCGCCAGCTTCATGTAGGTGGCAGCTTTCGTCGCCGTGAAAATGATGAGGTGTGACACCTGAGTCATGCCCCTTCCCCCCCGCACTTTACACTAAACCCAAAGCCTAAACCCCAAGCCCCATCGAAGCAAGAGAACCCAGATGCACAGAGATTGCGCAAAGCAACCCTAGACCCTAAACCCTTAAACCCTAAACCCTTAAACCCTAAACCCTTAAGCCCTAAACCCCTAAACCCCTAAACCCCTAAACGCTAAACCCTAATTCTGGTTCTGAGCAATCACACCTCTGAAGCCCCACCAGGCCCCAAAAGCTGCAACGCAAAGCGAACCAAAACCCCGAAATCTAGGGTTTAGGGTTTTGGTTTAGGGTTTAGGGGTTTAGGGTTTAGGGTTTTGGTTTAGGGTTTAGGGTTTTGGTTTAGGGTTTAGGGTTTAGGGTTCAGGGTTTAGGGTCCCATAATCCATGCAGAAGCCCCTTCTTGCAACCCAGTCATAGGCAAACATCCATCCACCTCAATACCCTGACGGGGGTCATAAGTAAGCATAACTCTAGCGTCACCTTACTCTAAGCCCGTCTAGATGCCTGATAGAACCTTTAACTCAAAACTGTGCAAAGTACCTGTTGGGGCGGTATCCCCCAGAAGAGTACCTAGGATCAGATCAACCGGGTAAGTGCGGCCGACCCAATCAACCAAAGCCTGGCCGAGGGACGTTGAAATGACTCGCGACCTAAGCTGCTAGGGGCGCGGGGTCTCATCCGGGAGCTAAAGAAGAGGAAACATACATGGGTGGTTGTCAAAATGATGGTCCGTTTTGGGGTCCCTAATATAATACGGCACCTATTATTTAGGGTACCCAGAAAGCGACCCTAATTTTGACAACCACCCACATGTGACTTGAAGTCTCTTCTTCCATTTCCGGGGCCCAAAAAAGTTCTGACTTTCGAAGATAGACAGAATCTACAAGGCCAAAAATCTCTATCCCTCCAGGGACCTCATAGTTAGGGCCCTAGACCCCTTAAGGACCCCATAATAAGGTCCCTGGAGGCATCGGGAATGCTAAAGTTATCCCAGTGCCTCAGTAAGTAAAGCGAATGAGCAGACAAACGTATGCGTCTTCATGTTGTGACATGGGGCTAGAGGTGGAGAGTCTCGGGACAGCGAGTCTTGGAACACACGCACCCTACCTACAGGCGTTGCGCTGCCAGAGTACCCTGGGAGCTGTCACCATCCAGACTGGCATGAATGAAACACAGACCATCGGAAATGTAAGAAACTGCTCTTTAATTGAAGGCTTACAGGGCTTAGGACATACTTGAAGGATAAAGGAACCCATGGAGCGCACATAGGGGGGCTACATATAGCTCTCTTGGCGTACTCGTAGCAGTACGTGCGCAAAACTAGAATAAGTCTTCAACTGTGTGTCCCGGCCTCATTCCTCGCAGGCTTGGGGTATCCGAAGAGCAACATGCTTCAGAGATACGGTCTAGGTCTTAGGGCTCAGGATTTTTCGTTTTTGTCGAGCCATCCCATCGCTGGTCAGAGAGAAGGGTTTGTCTGGCTCAACACTTGCATCCCATGTCCGACAACATGAAACTCAAGGAAACCCAAAACCCTGCACCTACCCAGAGGCCCCATAGTAGTTCCTTTTGGGGATTACCTTGTAGGATTCTGTATATGAACCCCAAAAAAGATTTACTTTGCGGCCTCTGGGCATCACTCTACCAGAGCTGACGAAGCTTGAGTCCCTCAAGTCCAAGTCCCTGACTAAAACCCTGAAAAGGTCCCAATTCCCCCATCTAGAGCCCAAGAATCCCTCCATAAAGGAAGCCTTAATACCCTCAAAAGTACCCACCCCTTTAAAGGAACCCTTAGACACTAAAACCTTAAACCCTAACACCCTAAATCCCCAAACCCTAAATCCTAAACGGACCCCAAACCGCCTGAGCTTCGTACGGCAATGAAGTCTTCGACCCGATTGATCTTCGACTCCTTCAGCGCCTTCGCAGAGTTCGGCATCATCACCATTCCTGGGGATTGTTTGGGGTTTTGGGGTTTGGGGGTTTTGGGTTTAGGGCTCCTTTGGGGTTTAGGGTTTAGGATTTTGCGACCGTTCCTGGGACTTTTGGGAGTGTTTGGGGGAGGGGGGATTTAGGGGTTTAGGGTTTGGGGTTTAGGATTCTACTACCATTCCTGGAGACTTTTGGGGATTTGGGGTTTAGGGTGATTTGGGAGGTTAGGGTTTAGGATTTTAGAACGGCTTCATTCCTGGAGATTTGGGGGTTTTAGGGTTTAAGGTTCTCCTGTGCAATAAAGGAGTGCGTACAATCCTGGGATTTTAGAATGCCTTCATTTGAGTAGGGTTTAGAGTTTAGGGGGTTAGGCTGATACAAAGCAGTTCGGCTAGATACTTTAGTTCTTGGCTTATTGTGTAGTGGCCACAGCTAGAGGTGGTCGCAGCTACAATGAGAACAAACTTCTGGCCGCTAGCGCCTGCTAGGGTGTCAAGGAGTTGCTTTGTGGTAGTGTTTGCCTTAACCCTGAAGAACCTACCTTTTTAAGAACTTATATTAGTATAAAGAAATCATACCAGTATTAGGGAACCCAAAAAATTCAGGCTGCTTAGGGTCCAGGTGCTTCTTCGACCTTAGCTTTATGCCCGATACCCTGGACCATGAGCTCCAGAAGCCCGTCCAGGGATTAGGGCGTCGCCATTCACAGGAAGTTCGAAGTCGAAAGAGAGCGGTACATGATTTGCTCAGGAGTACAGCGAGTCGTGACCTGAGATTGCAAGCCTTGCAGAGAGCTCAAACTTTTGTCAGGCTCGAGGTCTTGAATTTGGATCTATATTTGCGAACATTAAGGGTAGCGGAACTTCAATTACAGTAGAAGCCAGAAAGTTGGAATATCATTAGCGTAACCCCTTTAAGGTAAATTATAGGGGATCCTACCATTAATCCATATTCCAACCTTCTGGAGTTCCCTTTATAGTCTTAAACCCACTCCTGCTTAAACCTGCTTTGTTGTTTTCGGGCTGTCTGGGTCGTTCGGCGATATTTCGCAACAACAACTGCCCAAATCCGTGAAGTAGGCCATTGTTGCAGTCTTAGGATTTAAGGTTGCGGATTCAGGGTTCAGGGTTGGGCTGGGAATTTGGGCTGTTTCGGGTACAGTACCGTACCACAGATAGATTTGGGCTCAGGAAGTTTGGCACAGCACCCAAACAAGCACCAAGATTCGAAAATCTTGAACCAGGTCCTTGATGCGGTCGCCCACCTCAGCATACACGGTGAGTGCCGAAACCGCAGCTGAGATCACGCCGTCGTTTTGGCTTAGTGGTTGGGGCGGCTGACTTCGGAAGTGCCATTGGGCCGCATCGCCGCGCTTGATCACGAAGCAGCGCGGTGTCAACTTCTTCCTGAGCGAAGGCGGGAGGGAAATGGGAGTTTCCCGACATTGCGGGGTGGTGCTGTATTTAGGGTCCGTGCATATTGTGGGCGCTTAGCACGCATGGCGAGCTTTACCTTGAGTCTGTTGTTGCCTTCGTCCTGAAACGAGGTTACTTAGCTTGGGCAGCAAGGATCGTCTGACCGGGGCAGATGCAAAATCAAAACAATTCAAGGTCCACTAGGATCAGGACCGCTCATAACACATCGCTACCCATGCGTTTGTCCCGCTGCTGCCGGAAGAAGAACAACAGCATTACCACCAGTTGTTTCAGGATGAAGCTGACATGACACTTGTCCGATGATCCTGATCGTCAACATCGCCATCAGCACCATGCTTCTGACGGTTGCTGCCGGCTTCAGATTATCACGACGACGGTTCTCTGAGAAAACAAAAGCCACCTCGCTCTGCCGCGGTACTCTCGCTCGCCCACATCTGCTTCCTTCCCCGTGCGGGTCTTCTTCCGCCTCGCATGGGAGGCCAGAGCATGCATCAAGGTGTCTGCTTTGTCAAGCTGGTGCTTGCACAAAACCACGTTGCCTAAAGACGGCGAGCGTGCTGGGTAAGCTTGTCTGTACGCTAATGCTGCTGCTGCTACTGCTACTGCAGCTGCGGCTGCTGCTCCCGTATATTCTGCCTCGTAGTCCCTGGCTTACATCCCAAATGCTCAAACCCTCAATGCTAATCGTGGGTTCAGGAATTCACCCGGCCTACGCCCCTGCCGCGGCATTCCGTTTGGAATGCAGGCGCCCGGAGTGGCGACAAATCCGGCAGCAGATGGAATGGACCATAAGAGTTTAGGTTAAGGGTTTCAGGGGCTAAAAGCCACCGTAAGACTTTGACATAGTTTGACTTAGTGCCTCACTACCAGGACCCACGCATGCGAACGCGTACCCCTGATGAACTTGAGCTTGTGTTGGTGGAGGGACTTCAGGGCTTCAGTTGCTGTACGCTGCCCCCTAGCCCCTACACACGCGCCTTAGCAATTAGAATAGCGTGTTGGGGTCCATTCTAGCTTAACTTCTCGTTAGGGCCAAGGGAGAATTATGCCGAATTCTCTAGGTCATCATGGCATGTGTCGTCGAGGGATTGTGGAGTTCGTAGGATTTTGGGCCTGAAGGTCCAAAGACGAAAACCGAAGCGCAAACCGTGAAATCGACTAAGCCCACAGTTCTGCTTGTGGTGCTTTGTAGTGCTGATGCCCCTCAGGCTCAGCTGGGAGCCGTTCTGGTCTGGAATGAAGCAACGCGACATGCAAGTTAGTAGTAGGCTCATTTAGGTTAATTTAGGTTTGAAGGCTTCATGGGCTTGAGATTTAGGGGTTTAGGGTTTGGTTTCGGGATCAGGGATTCAGTTTTGGATTTAGTTTGGGGCTATTTAAGATGGGCACGAAGGGACAGTGGTAGGCAGCATCATCGAGCACATGCTCAGAAACCCTACGCCTCAGGCGACGACAAAAGATGACGAGCATTGAAGTTTCATAAAGCGAAGGACCCTGCATACACCCGGAATCATAGGGTCCTTCAACAAGAGACCCGACCCACACCTCTCTACGAGTACATGATTAAAAAATATCTCTCCAAGACAAGGGAAAAGCCCCGTGGCATTGTGAGAGGCCCCGAAATCCCGAAACCCAGGACCCTGCAATCTTCCGCGGGGTTGGGGGCTTAGGGTTCGGTTATGGCTCCAGGGTCTTCGGGTTAGGGTTTAGGAACACCTAAAGTCTGTCCTGCGTGGAAGGAGGCTACTTGCCAAAATGTCATAGTGATAGTTTTGATCCCGTGTTTGTTGTCGTTTCGTGGTACGTAGTGCTTCGAGTATTCGTCTTGTTGCTGTTAGAAACTTTATTCTATCTAGCTCCTCGCCGAAATCGACATGGATACTGATACTGTTGCTCCAACCCGTGCTGGCTGTTGATTCTGCATTTGTGTCTTCAGTACTGACTGCTGCAGTATGAGTATGTTTGTCCATTTGTGACAGTCTTATACAAAGCGATGAGCAACGAAATCTCCAAAAGACGTCGGTCACACCGCAGCAACCCTATCATGCACCCGGCCACCCTCAGGCTGTAAACCCTAAACCCTAAACCAATTCATCGCAGGCAGCTTTTAGAGAGAGCACTTAGGATAGACCTTACAAGGGAAATCACGAACCGGACAGAGCCGACACCCTTAATCGACTACACGGGCCTTACTACCTAGAGTAAGGAATTTGGGGGAGGGGCACACTATACTTTGTACTAGTGGCTATTATGAGAGAATAGCACTAGTTATTTCGACCCCTAAAATAAACCATTAACCCAAACCAGTCGGCCGGACTTCGTCAAGCGCTTCACAGCGCTCATTGGGATGCTGAGAGATGACAGGGGCACCTCTCTCAGTTCCAAAGAAACCACTTTGCTGATTGAGGCTTTGGCCCTCGATATGTGTAGTTTCCTGCTTTCTCCCATCCGAGACAAGCTACTTCCTGGAGAGGCTCGAGACTGCTGAGGGAAGCTGAAGCGGTGTACGGAATTATGGCTCTCGGCTTCCACATTGGTTGAACATGAGGGTGGTTGTCAAAATTAGGGTCCCCTTAATATAATACGGCACCTAGTATTTAAGGTACCCCAAAAGGAACCCTTATTTTGACAACTACCCATGAGGGGGTGGCAGGGTTTAGGGTTTCATGGGGTTCGGAGGTCCTGCTACAACTCAGAGTTACAAAAAGCTACTCCCCCAAGGATGCAAAGGACCCAATGATTAGGTACTCGGTTTTAGGATAGTAGTTATGTAGGGTAGGATTTTGGAGAGTATACGATTATTTGCTACTTGGACCCTTGGGGCTCTGCTCTATCAGGTTCGGGCGCACAGCTGTTTCAAAGGCAGCGTGAATGCGGTCAAATTCCCCGGCTCCATAGAACGGGACAGCTACAGAGGGCCCACACAACAACTGGCTCGTCCGCAGCATCGCAGGGACGTTCAAACAGTAGTGGCAGGCGTTCTTTGCAGCAGTCGTTGCTGAACCCAAGGCCATCAACCCTACTGTAGAGGCCTTGTAATTAGAATAGGGTTTCGGGCCCTTTATAATATAGTTATATAAAAAACCCTAAGGAATAATATTGGTAATTCTTTAGGCTTCTATATGACACCCCCATAATGCCCCTTGAAGTCACCCTACTAGGACGATTATACTAAGGAACCCTCAGGAATCAGACTGGTAATTATTCTATACCCCTCCCTTAGAACCTAGTCAAAATAGTACGTCTAACATTCTCTTGGGTTCTATATGAACAGAAATCAAACATAACTCCTAAGGAGACCATAGTATTGAGGCTTCTGTACTCTTGGCCTCCTCGGCAGCAGCTGCCGCCACCTCGGCCTCCCGGAAAGCTTGGCCGGCTTACGGCTCCGGGCCTTAGGTTTCAGGGTTTAGGAAGCTTGAAGCTTCAGGCTTTAGGGTTTGGGGGTAGGATCCCTAGACCCTACCTTAACCCTGAAAAACCTACATTTTGCCAGGACGGCTATTAAGGAAATCATCATGAGGAGCCCTAAAAGGTAGGTTATTTAGGGTTAAGGTAAACCCTAAACCGGTAGGTTTCAGGGCTTCAGGTGGAGGTAGATTTCGAGACCTTGGAAGTTTCGTAAAGCAGTCGCAGTCGTTTTCTGTTCGCGGAGTCCTGATCTGAAGTATCCTACAGGCTGCAGGGTCGAGCCCTAAGCCCGAAACCCTTAAGCCCGAAACACTGAGCCCCCAACCCCATAGATAGAGTTTGAAACCGGTTAAGGTTTAGGGTTTAAGGATTCTATGAAACCAAGTTTTGATGAATTCCCACTTAACTTGGTGCTGGGTTGTGTGAGGCCAAGAAGCGCCCCAAACGCCGGGCCTTGGCTTGGGCTAAACCAGATTCTTGCTAAGGAACCAAACTTGAGGTTTACCACAATAAGGAAAACATATAATTCAATATGCATCCTCAGCCTGGTGGGGAAGGACCTGCAAATATAGAGCTTTCGCAATTGGAATAGGGCTTTGGGGTACAGTCTGCTGTAATTATACCGAGACTGTAAGGGAATAGTATCAGTAACTTTCCATATATTCAACTCGAAACCGATGCCTCCATGACGACCGGCGCAGAAGGCAGCGGCAGCTGGGCACAAGTCTACCGGATACTGACCCGTCCTGTTTCCTGAAGTATTGTCGGCATGTTTCCGTGTGTTTTGTCCAAGCTTAGCCACAGATTCGGCACGAAGCCAAAGTTAAACCCTAACCTAAACCGTTGCAACCACTAACTACTGTATACTCTGAAGGCGTAGCCTTCCACTTGCCAGTCATGTAAGAGCTTGAGCCGGCGCGTGCAATGTTTAAGCCTGAACAACTTGCAAAAGTATACCCTTGTCAGTAGTTAGTATGTTCTTGTCACATACCCGATTGGAACTATTGAGGTCTCCGTGCCATGCCGCTTCTGCAGAAAGAAAGCTGCCACGATCAGGGGTGTAAACAATGTCGCTTCCTGCCTGGCCTATACTGAACTTAGAACCCTAGCAACAATTACAATTCTAGCTGCTTTTTAGGGATTATAATAACCAAAAATTACAAAATTGTTTCTAAGTACCCCTAAGTGGCATGGACATCGTGAACCGGCTTGACACCACTGGATTCAACCAGGCTGTGCACAACCCGACACCCTCAAACACCTAGAACATATAAACCCTCAGCCCTATATATGCCCCAACACACGAACCGTGCAAATTCAAGAAATACAACCTGAAAGACACTCTCAAAATCCCTAAACCCCTGCAAGCACAAAACTCTAGCAGCCCTGAATCACAAAACCAACAAGCATTTCGCGCCACGAGCCCTTAAACCCCTGAACCCTAAACCCCGAAACCCTAAACCTTAAAAACCTAAACCCCGAAACCCTAAACCTTAAAAACCTAAACCCCGAAATCCCTTAGGCCCTAAAGCCCTAAACCCTACACCCCTAAACCAGTAAACCATAACCCCCCTAATTTTCGGAAACTCCAAACCCTTATGGAGCCCCTTAAAAGGAACCAAATAACCCTTTAAAGGAACCAAACCCTAAACCCCAAAACCTAGTAACCCCCTTAAAGGAACTCCTCCGAATCGAAGAGCTCTGGGCCTCGAATATCTTCGGCCCTTTCACGGGGATAGCAACCTGACTGCGCTCGCCAAAGCTAGGTCTTTCGAATTTGGGGGGTTAGGGTTTAGGGGTTCAGGGTTTAGGGGAGTTTTGGTCTTTCGAACTTAGGGGTTCAGGGTTTAGGGGAGTTTTGGTGTTTCGAACTTAGGGGTTTAGGGTTCAGGTTTGGTTTGGATAGGGTTTGGGGCTTAGGGGGGTTTAGGGGTTTAGGGTAGGGTTCAAGGTTTAGGGGGCTTTAGGGTCTGGGGGTTTAGGGTAGGGTTTGGGGCTTAGGGGTTTAGGGTTTAGGGTTGACGGGTTTTGGGTAGGGTTTGGGGTTTAGGGGTTTAGGGGTTTAGGGTAGGGTTTGGGGTTTAAGGGTTTAGGGTTTGGGGGTTTAGGGGTTTAAGGAAGTTTTGGTGTTTGGGGGTTTAGGGTTTAGGGGAGTTTGGTGTTTAGGGTTTCGGGGTTTCGGGGCTTAGGGTTTAGGGTTTGGGGAGTTTGGGGGGTTTAGGATTTAGGGGTTTTGGGGGTTTAGTGTCCGGGGCCTAGGAAGTGCAGGGTGTCGGCCTGCAGGGCCTCATGCGTGTTAGCGTCAATATGTATGCTGTTTTTGTGTTTGTGGCGGGTGTGTAGATTATGGATTCTGCTGTCTAGGGTTTATAGTGGCTGCTCTGAAATTGCAAAGCACACACCCACAACCCTCAACACGACTGTTACACATCGACCCTATCCTTCTATGCACACGGTTCCGGCCAGGGAAGTCAGGAATCTGAGTGGCAGGGCTGCATGGACATGAACCTCAAGGGAGCATTCAGAAATGTGTAGTCCTCGGTGTTTTTTCTTTTTCTGTCCTTTCTCATTTCTAGCCGTAGAAAGCAGTTCGAAAACGACACCCTGGAATCTACCTATAGTCTCCATTGTAGTTCCTTTTTCTGGTTAACCAAAATCTATATTATAGGATCCTAACCATAAAACTGGTTAACCAAGAAAAGGCACTACAATGGAGACTATGGGTAGGGGGTTCCCTGCCTCGACGAAGGGACATGAGAGCTCCACCTCGTAGCCACGAGGGGGCTTTGCAGTGCTGGGTTGTCGTGTTTGGTACGGGCTTTATGACAGGACTGCAGGGTGATTTTGGGCTTCAGATCTCATCAAGTCGAATTTCAGAGCGGAAAGCGATTCGATAACTTTGAGGCTTCGCAAATAAAGCGGCGGGGTCCCCGAATCGTACGAGCAAGCTGGGTTCGGGGATTCCGGATGACCCGCATCCATGCCATGACGATGATGATGAGGAGGAGGATGATGGCGATTAAGCTGATGCGGACGACGGCTGTTCCAATCAAGACTACGTATGTCCTGCCCGTAATTTTGGTTTGTACTGCTAACACACTTCCTGACAGCTTCTGTTTCTTACAGTACTACTTTGGCTGGTGCTGCTGCTCTCGTACGCAATTCGATTACGAAGAGTACCATTCAGTACACAGCTGTCCTTGCCTGCCTTGCGTTCATTACTGCGGCTTCTGTTGGGACATTGATCAAACCAGTTGTGTCACCGCCGTCCCTCAATTCCACCACTATCGGCTGCCGGGTTTGTTCAATCTCCGGCCCGTATCTTGTTGCAGTGCCAAGCTGGAAGAGAGTAAATCTGCACGTCTAAGCCCGTTGGTAGGCCGTAAACATCCTTGCAACTCAAACCTCAACAAAGCTCTCACCCTCCCATGATTTGCCTCCTCCCCAACCGTAAACCCTAAACCCTAAAACCCTAACACCCCAAACATCTAGAACCTTAATACCCTAAAACCCTAAACCCTAAAACTCAAAAATCCGAGAACCCAAAACCCCTAAACCCCTAAAACCCTTGACCCTAAAACCCTACTTAAAGGATCATGGGACTTAGTAAGTAAGGTTATAAGTTATAAGTACCCTAATTGGGGTTATAAGTATAGTTACCCTAATTATAACCCTAGTTACTAAGTCCCATGATCCTTTAAGTAGACCCTAAACCCTAAATCCTAAAACCGTGTAACCTGCAGGTTTCCCCGAATAGAAGTTCGGCTTTCGCGGCCTGGCGCTGCTTCGTCAGCTTTCCCCCCATGGCTTCGTAGATGCCCACATACCTCGGCTTGGGGTTTATAGGCATAGGTTTTAGGGATTCAGGGTTTAGGGCTTCAGGGGTTTAGGGCTTTAGGGTGTAGGGCTTCAGGGTTTAGGGCCTTCTTCGGGTTTAGATCTTATACGGCTTTAGGGTTTTAGGGTGTAGGAGAAGAGCTTGGCAAACTTGCGGCATGTGCACAGGCTTTTGTCTATGAGGGTGTAGTAGTGTAGCGAGCAGTAGAGTAGAAGTTGCAATCTCAGAAAATGGTGGACCCTCACGGTAAGATATTTTGAGGACTAGATAGAGCATCCCGGAAATGTTCTACGGACCAGCAGTGTGTAACCCTTGGCTCGCAGGAGGCCTGACAACTGCATAATCAACGGTGGGAAGTATAGGAGCCTTACCCATAGATTTTTGGGATGACCTTATAAGATTCTATATATGAACCCCAAACAGGAACTACTTTGGGGCCTGTGGGTAATGATTTACATAATTATCCTTCCCCAAGCTCTGGCCCGGCAAGTTAGGTCTGAACGGGAAATACAGATGTCCTACGTTTGAGTTGTCATCCTCCCGTCTTTCGTAACACCACAGACGCAGTGAACCCTTGTCCCTCATAGACACAAACACACACAGACACACAGAGGGCTTCCAAAAACACCCAACCCCTAAACCCGTCTCACAGCCAAGTATGACCCTAACTCTCAACAAAGGATGTACATTTCTCCTATAGGGCTTTAAAGACGCTAACTCGGGGAAGCAGCAAGGTGAGCAAAGGGCAGATGCACGAGTAAACAAAACAATGCCACGCTGCTCCTTCTGCCATACCCTACACCGAATCCCTGAACGTGTTTATTGTTACTTCGACCACGACGAACGAGTCGTATATCGACAATACTGTGACAGAGCAGGTCAGGTGATGTCCGTCGGCTTCTTTATGAATTAGCCAAGGTGTCGGACTTCAGGTCTCAGGTTCACTACTTCATTGTTGGGATAGGATTAAACATGTACATGTTTATTCTTTATTGGGTTCAAGTACCCATACAAAAATGCAAAATGCTACCCAACTATTTCAAAGTTCAGAAGTTCACAGCCCTGAAACCTTCTGACGCGACCACGGGGCTCTGCATCGTCTCTCTCCGTGGTGTTTGAGCCGTATTCGTGCAGCTGGGTGAGGAAGTAGTCGCGCTCCTCTGATGACCAGAGAACTGCAGCACTGAGAACGCAAACAACTGGGCCTCATGAAATTAGAGCTCTGGGGGTTCGCATCATGTCGCGTGAGAATACTGTGGGATCGGATGGGGCTCTGTGTACGATGTAGGGAAGATTCCTTCTCGGATCGCCTGTCAAGATCAATGCAGTTGCTGCTGTAACCCACTGTATGGGTCAGCTTTCATCACATTGCATCGCAATTCGGGAAGCTCTTGGCTGCCAGACAAGGATTCTCCGGTCCGTGCACTCGGCCAAAGTACAAAGCCACCCAGCCTCTAGGATGCCCAGCAACCTAGGAATAAAAAGGGCCCCCTTTTTGGTATTGGATAACTCAATAAGGAACCTAGGACTACAAAAAGGGAATAAGGGTACTACTGGGCATCCTAGTTCTTATCCCGCCATGACACTGTGATGCCGAGCTGGAGACCCCACTCAAACACCTCAAACACCCTGCAGAAACCCTAAGGAATAATTGGTGTAATTGTTCCGACCCCTACGCTACCTGGACTTGCTCAGGCGCAGATTTTAAAGCCCCCACACCCAACCCTACCAAGGACGCTTTAGGGTTCAGGGTTTTGGGGTTTTAAAGACCCAAAAACCTATAACCGGAAGAGCTTCAACCGAAACAAACTCAGGAGGCGTTTCAGTTTGTGCTTTGGGACATCAGGTAGGCTTTGGTGTGGCTGTCGGGTCTGCCGGGTTGAGGGTTGCAAGGGCTTCCGGCTGAAGGTTCAGGGAGTTTACTATACTGAACTTAGAACCCTAGCAACAACTATAATTTTAGCTGTCTCTTAGGGATTATAAAAACCAAAAATTAAAGAATATTTCTGAGTACCCCTAAGTTTAGGGTTTCGAACCGCAGAGACCAAGGCGCTGGGGCTTCCGGGTTTACCTATAGTCTCCATTGTAGTTCCTTTACAGGGGTTTAGGGTTCCTTTAAAGGGGTTTAGGGTTCCTTTTACAGGGGTTTTGGGTTTAGAGTATAGTCTCCATTGTAGTTCCTTTTTGAGGTTACCTTATAGGATCCTTACTATAAAATTGGTTAAACCAAAAAAAAGGAACTACAAAGGAGACTATAGGTAGAGTAGATGCCACAAAACACAGGGGCGACTGCTTGCCGCGAGATTTGGCTGGTCTACTTAAAGGATCATGGGAGTTAGTAACTAGGGTTATAATTAGGGTAACTATACTTATAACCCCAATTAGGGTACTTATAACCTTACTTACTAAGTCCCATGATCCTCCAAGTAGAGTTTTTGTTCAGGGGTTCAGGGCTTAGACGGCTTCCGAACAGCCATAAAGAGCCTTGCACGAGACCAACTAGACTTACTCGAGATCTTGCGCGTGTTGCAAAGTGGTATAGGAATGAAGGCGTCGAAGATACAGATGCCTGGCTCTGACATAATTGGCTCGCTGCAGCACCCCTACAAACTCAACCCCCAACTGCAAGACTCTTGGACATCAAAGTTTAAACCCTCAGTCTGTAAAGCCTATAAGGCCATGCACCCTTTTCCCAAACGCTCGACCGTCCTGATGAGACAGAAGAGATCCCCAGCTGTTGATGGCTTGGTGGAAGGACGCCAACATCAAAGTGCCTTTGTGAGAGCTCAGGTGACAACTTGATAGAGTTCATACATTAGTGGCCTTTATATTTTCAAGGTTCTGTCAGGGTTTATCGGGTCCCACAGGCGTCTGAGGTGATTGCTCATGCGGGTCTTTATATGACAGATCCCGGAGAATATCCGGCGTCTGGCGTCTACTTACATAGTAGTTTGTGGTGATAACATTCTTTTCTGACTGAAACTACCCGAGCCCCAAGACTTTCCAATGACACGGTGGCCGTAGTTCTCGATCAAGCTGGTCTGCTTTGGCATTGAAAAGTCTGAGGTTGAACTGGCGCGACTATTCCGGCCCCCAAAAAAAGCACATAAGGAAAAATTAGGATAGGGATACCCGATCCCATATTACCCCCGTTATGGTGGAGCCCAATAAGGGCTATGCCCATAAAATGCTTATGCTTATGCTTTTTGTGGGTCCCTATAACTATAGTGCAAGAGTCGGCTCTATCGTCTTGTAGTCCTACAAGGTCTAGGATACCCAGTAACCTAAGAATAAAAAGGCCTCTCTTTTTGGTATTGGGTAACTTTATAAGGAACCTAGGACTACAAAAAGGGAATAAGGGTACTACTGGGCATCCTAGACAAGGTTGTCCGACTTGCAGCTTGTCAGGAGTCGTCGTAACGGAAGTGGTGGTAGTGGCAGGGGCAGTGGTAGAGCCAGTAGCAGTTTTTGTTAAGCGCATAGCACTGTCTTTGTGACAAGCACCGTGCATCAACTTGTTATCTGCCTCTCCTCCCTTGAAAAAGTGAAACCACGTCTCGTATGTGTCTGCCTTTGCTGCCTCCTGCAATACGCAAAAACTTCTCCACATGGCTAGCAGCTGTCCGAAGCATTAATGCAGAGCCAGTTGAAGCTTGGGGTGCCTCCAGTACCCTCCCCTCACCCATGGAGGATGATCGTACGGAACCTACTACCCAGTTTCTTAAACAAAGCCATGGTACATGGATTTTCCTCTTGCGACCTACACCCGGAGCCGCCGAAACCCCACTCCACATAAATATTAAGCTCTTTGCCCGCTCTTCCCACATCCTAAGGTCCTAAACTCAAAGTCTAAACTCAACTAGACCCAAGAGTAACCCAGGCATAAAAAGGATGCCCTTTTTGGTTTAAAGGGGCTTATAAGGGAACCTAAACCCTAAAAAGGGAATAAGGTCCTACTCTAGGTCCTAGACCAACAGAGCCGAGATGCCATTGAGTTTCAAGACCTCCCGAACCTCGAGGAGCCCTCCTTTCCAAGGAGCTCAACTTGTGCAGGCTCAAGAATACAATGGGGGCCTTCTAAACCCTAAACCCCTAAACCAATATGGAGGGCCTTGAGGATTAGCATCGGATTTGGGGATATGAGTTTATATCACAGCATCATTGCCTTGGGATGCAGCTTTGCAAGTCTAGCCTCCCATCACAAGTCTTCAATCCTTGCGATCTGTAAGTTTGTTATTACTATTCATAATCCAGTGTAAGGTGTAGGCTTGAGGGTTTTGGGACTAGGCTTGAATTCTGCAGCACGCCTGCAGTGCCGTTGTGGGCCGTCCAGGGCGGACACTCACCGCGCAGGGGAGCATGGAAGCCATAGTTGCCTTTGGTTTAGAATTTAGGGTTTAGGGTTTAGGGTTGTTCACGGTGGGCAGGAAGTTATGCATTCTTTTTGGGCTTGTACAAGTAGCGTCTGCTCTTATAATTGTAATAAGGAGCCCCCAACATAGTGTAGGCAAGTACTAAGCCCCCTATATCAGCTTGACCTGGCTGATCTGCTTGCTTGCTTCCTCATGTAAGCTGGGGTCGAAGATGAACTAGGGCTGCATAAAAAACTAAGTAATGTGCCCGTTGCGGATGCGACGAGCTGGGATGAAGAGCCTACGACAGAAAAACAACACAACCTCTTATGAAAAGACCGGGGCATGTCAAGGCGAAGTATGGCAGAATACTTGTTACTGTTGATGATATAAATCCTGCATTACCCATAATAAGGAATATACCATAATTCCCATAGTTCAGGGTCCTGAAGGAAATGCATGATTTATATCATCAGCCGTAGCACTCCAGGCCCTAAGCCTGAAATCCCTTGGAAACTTCTAAATCGAAACTGTGAGTCGGTAATGTAGGGGCCCTATTAATCATTAGAATAGGGTTTTGGGGCCCACCATACGATAACTATGACTATGATAAGGAGCCCTCAAAGCAGTATAGGTAATGATGAAGGCCCCCCTACATTACCCATAATATCCATCCAGGCCCTCTCTTAACCTCTCAAAGCACACTGTGGGTCGCTGTCAAAAGAAGGCCGCAATCAAGTGCCAAAAAGGTTCGTGCAGAGGGGGGGAGGGGGTGGAGGGCGATATTGTCGCATATACTTTAATTCTTATCGGATGCTCCCAGCAAGCTTAAAACCACTGGAGGACCACAGCGATGCAAGGCAAATCCTACGTTGACTTCTACCTGGCAGCATATAGTCAAAGTGGACAAGTGAGTTCATACCATGTACTTGTGTATGTATGTATACATACATACATACATACATACATACATGAGAGGATACATACAAAAGCATACCTTATGCTATTCAGAGTCCCAGACATGCAACTAGCTAGTTTTGCCCACTGACCCAAATCGAACAGAGTGGCAATGCTCCACAGGTAGGCAGACGCCTTCGCCTCAACAGCAGGTGGCGAGGAAAACAACTTGGGCTGGGCAAACAATGGGTCGGGCAAAATCGGTGGGCACAGGGGTTAAGGCTTTTGGGGTTTTCATGATTTAGGGATTCGAATACCTGGAGAGTCCATCTTAATCTTGTATCTTCTGGAACTCATGGTACCCAAAGCGATCGCACGCAGGTTCAACTGTGCTTGGGTGTCTAAGTCATTGATGCATGTGACTCCTTTGTGGTCGCAATTGCAAGGCCTCTGAGAAAAAACGATGTGTCAAATGTTCAACATAGAGTTCTAGTTGGAGTCAACTCTTGTTGAACAATGAACCTGAATCCACTCCCAACCTCGAGCCGCAAAGCATAAGCACTGAATGCCACATCCCCGAACCTAATCGAGAAATCTTGAATCCCCGACCCGAAGCCTCAACAAAGAAAGAAACCCTCAGACAGTCTTATCGCAGTACGCAGTAAGCCCCTGACCTGAGTCCTACACCCTGAACCCCAATAAATGCTGGCCTTTAAGCACTACAACCCTCGCCCCTTCCAAGCCAAAATAACCCCTGAGCGACTAAGTCCCCAGCCCGAAAGGCAAGCCACCAGTCACTGAAGCCCCACCCGTTCAAGTCCAAGCCCCTACGGACTCGAACCCCGCCCCGTTCAATCACAGATTTCAGGATAAGACGAGATCTATGTGACGCAAGCATAGATACATCTACCTCTAACCTCAATCTAGGTGCCTGTAATCATATAATAACTTATAGCTTTTGTTTTTGCTTATACAGGTTTATGGTCTATGGGGCTTAGGGCTACTAAGTCAAGCGTTGCAAGTTCAGTAGCGGCTGTGGCTAGGAGTTAGTTAAGGGTTTAGGGAAAACCCTGGACCCTAAACGCTAAGGAGCCAATGGTGCAGGGCTTGGGGAAGGAGTCTTTGGGGTGTTAGGGTGTAGGATTTAGGGGTTTCGGGGTTTGGGGTGTAGGGTCTAGGGTGTAAGGTTATAGGGTTTAGGGTTTAGGGTCTAGAGGCTTAGGAGACATGCGGTCGGTAATGCCGTGCCATACTCAGTCCACCATCTCAGATTGTTGATTCTGCAATCGAAGTAATATAGGGGCCTTTATGATAAGAATAGGGTTTTGGGCTACATTAAACTGTAACTAGAGTAGGAATAAGGAGCCGCCAAAAGGGTACGGTAAAGGTAATAGTTTGGGCCCTATAGTACGCACATTGTGCATAATGCACGAGCATATAAATTCCAGACAGCCGTTAGATAGCAATTCAGAACAAAGGTAAGGGTATGTCTCCGGCCAAAGCACGGTGAATTGGCCGAGGGCCACATATGTCGGGGGAACGGGCGTTGCACGTCTCCTGCATTGCTTTCGCGTGTTCATCATGTTCTAGGTGGGGCTTTTAAAAGCCTTTGAAAAATGTTTGTAAAGTAGATCCTCTTAGGCCCAATAAGGGAAAATACAAAATGTCCCCAAGCCCTACCTAGTGTTGAGTCGGAGAATGAACACCGAAATCCTAAGCCCTCGGACAGTGGTTTGCTCCAGGTTAGGGCTCGTTTATTGAGTGCTTCATCGAAGTCTTCATCACAACACGCAACCCCCACAAACACAAACAGAACGGATCATCCCCAAGAAGATCCCTAAACCCTAAACATCCCCAAGAAGATGTACCACCTTACTGAGGCCGTAGCACCTTGCAGATCTCAAAACCTTCAGACCCATTTCCCCTGATTTAAGCCTGTATTCATAGTATTCTTTAAGGTAGCAATCGCCTGACCCTTATGACTAAGGTGTTTTTTGTGCGTCATCATGTGGAACCGGCATTGTTCTGTTGTGTAAACTTTGGATTATTATGAAACTTATGCTTGCAGTTGCCATTGTCAGCCGAAGTCCCGACCAAAAAGCGTCGGATTTGGGAAAAAAACATGGTCACAATCGTAACAAGCTGGCAAATGCCGATGGATTCCGGTTGGCCCGAAGTTCAAGCTTTAATTTGAACTAGGCTCATGCGCCACCGATGACCTCAATGCCTTGCCCGTAACTCGCCCCACCAAAAGCATGCAGAAACCCAACTTGAGCTGACGATGACACAATTGAGACGAACCCCCCTTTGGCCCTATATCCTTGTCACAGAGGTTTCGATGCACTATAGACCATAACAGCAGGACTTCATGTGTCAAATCCCTTGCGGTCCCAGTTGGTGCAGAACAGCCCGCGGTCGGTGCCGCAGTCTTTGTGGCCTAAGCTTCGTTCGGAGATTCAGGCAACAGCAACCCTGAAGATGCTTGCATCAACAATCCACATTGCTCAATAGCTCGAGCTCCAAACGAGAAGCCGGCTATTCCGGTAGGGAGGATGGGAGCTTCGAGGCTGTCTGTGCTGCCCAGGGCCCCTGATAAGAAGCTCCCTGACTGAGGGTCCATAACTAGGATACCCAGTAACCTAAGAATAAAAAGGCCTCTCTTTTTGGTATTGGGTAACTTCATAAGGAACCTAGGACTACAAAAAGGGAATAAGGGTACTACTGGGCATCCTAGAAAGTCTTACGGAGCACAGGCTCCTCGCTCTGAAAACTCCTGTAAGGTCAGCTGGCACGCGCCTTTGCACGAGCATCTAAGCGAAGCTTTAAAAAAGACATCAAGACATCAACGGCTTCCAAGATTGCCCTTTCCAGCATCTCTAAGGGAGCCCTTTACAGGATCCCCTCCTCGCAGGACGCCCTAAAGGAGCCCTTTAGAGGAACCCTTACCAGGTGCTCTTTGAGGCCCCGGCTGTTGCACGCCTTCGTCCCACGGCATTGCCCGTCGATGCTGCGGCCCGCAACACATGTCGAGATTGGGTTGCAGAAGCCATCCTCCACATCCGAAAGATGAACACCAATAAGGTCCCTGAGGCAATCTAGGGTAATCATCGAGCTGTTGAGCTCAAACTAAGGGCCAAAGGACAGTGAAATCCAAAGCAAAAGCGAAAGTCAGACGTTCCATGGTGAGAGCGCTTGAGAAGCCTGAAAAAGACTTCATAGAACACTCACCGTCGTAACCAACAAGCACTGTTCGAGGAGAGTCCCGAACTACTCGTTCTAGTGATACTGCCACCTGTTGGAGATCCTGGTACATTCACCACGGGTAGTTCAGACTACATACATGACAAGTACTGTTACTATTCGTGAGGAGGGCAGGCTCGCACGGTCATGAGACTTAATCTCAGACAGCTACCTCAGACCATGCAAGGAGGTCGTCAACGCACTGACTGTGACTCTACTACACTACTCGCCTTGCCCCAAAACCCTAAACCCCGAAACCGAGGCAGGTGTAGGAGATTAAAGCTTCAGGGATGCACGTGACCGCTGCAGTGGATCTGACATGGGAGTCCTTGAGTTTCCATCGTAGTTCCTTTTCGGGGTTACTGTACCTTTTAGGATCTACAATCTATATTACTCTCTCTCTCTCTCTCTCTCTCTCTCTCTCTCTCTCTTTACATATATATATATATATATATATATAGATCTTATGATTAGACAATGGAGACCATAGGCGGTCCTTGATGGGCTTGTCACCGCAGTTCCGGGTACCTGCTCAGGGCGTCTATGCTTCGGGGTGTTGGGGTTTTAGGAGTTGCGGCTTGCGGCTTTGGGTGTTCGAGTTTCGGGTTCAGGTCTTAGCAGTTTGGCATCCGGGTTCAAGGATTCGGGGTACCTCTGTGCTACATCAGCGGCACCACAAGAGACTTCAGACATTAAGATCACATTCCGATGGCTACACCAGTGCCAGTGTCAGACAAGAAATCCCAATCTCAGGTTGAGAGTTGATGCCCCGGTATTTACTTGGTGTTGTGGGGGGGTTATCAGTCACATGGGCGGACCCTGAAGACCTCTAGCTGTCTGGCCATTCAACTCTTAGGGCAGAGCTTTGAAGGGTTGACTGATGTTGAGCTCACCCGTGCAAAGAGGGCGACCCCATGCCAGAATCTACAAGGCAGACCCCGGTTCCATCTCTCTCTAAGCTGTGCTTTTTTCGGGACTTTTATTCTGAAGCCGAGTGCTTCGGGTATTTTGTATTTAGAACCTGGCTTTCCCAAGCTTGATTGATCCAGTTTGTATCTTAAATACGGACCGTAGGCTAAACCCCAAATCCTAAAGACACCAAAACTAGGGCCCCAAAAAAAACACATAAGCAAAAATAAGGATAGTGATTTCCCATATAAGCCCCCTCATAATGAAGCACACTATGGTAGGGATATCCCAATAAAATGCTTAAGCCTAAACCCTAAACCCTAAACCCATAGGCCTCAAAGTCCCTGAAAAACACCAGATTCTGTCTTCAAGACGGTTTAGGGTTTAGGGTTTAAGGTTTCGGGTTTAGGGTTTAGGGGTTCCTCGCCAAGGTCTAAGGTGCCGGATCCCGCAACGCAAAACGGGGTTTTCAGCTCTTTCGGGCTTTAAGGCTTCAGGGTTTAGAGCTTTGCGGTACCAACTACACAAAATGAGCATGTCCGAACACCGTAGTATCTACATCTCTGAAAATCAGAAGCCCTCGGCCACACTTCGCACCACTCCAGGGGTCCATTCTACGGTGGTTTTCGTTCCCCCTGAACTCTAAACCCTAAACCCCGACAGTACTCTCCATCCACTCCAAGTGACCAGTCGTGTCCTCTCGCACGCATGCATCCCAGCTCCAGCAGAACCTTCAGAGCCACTATGGGCGCGGAGCGGGGGGGGGGGGGGGGAATGATTCCTGCGTTACAGTCCTAGTCTATACTGAGGAGTTCTGTATACTGTAACACTACTGTAATCGTATTCTGTAGGGAAACCGATTTTCTTAGGTGCCTTTAACATGCAGGCATGTAGGTTGATTGAGACACCACATTGGGAACTCGCGTCGAGTCCCTCGCTGACCGTGAGCCTCAGTAAGTTCAAACCTGAGACTCTAGTTAAGAAGCTTAAGAAGCACTTATGCCCTGAAACTCTAAACTCAGAGCCCTTGAATCCTAAATCTTACTGCTATACAACTCTAACCTCCGAATCCGCTAACCCCAAAAAACCCCCAAATCCTCAAAACGAAACCTCGCCGACAGCCGAGGAACTCAGTATCCGAGCAGTCAGTGTGCTTGAAGCATCCTGCAAGAAGATATGCTTAGGGCTCAGGGTTCTTCTTCTTATTGTTCATCCTCTTCGTCAGGATGATGATCAGCAGCCTTCGTCTTTCTCCTCCTCCTCCTCCTCCTCATCATCATCATCGTCAGCATCATCGACAGCATCACCAGCATCATCATCACAACCATCATCATTATAAGCATCATCGCCATCATCATGAACACAATCATCGTCCCCACCATCATACTACTCACCACCTGCAACAATGTCAACGTCGTCAGCACTTCCCATGGTCATCATCGATGTAACAGACGTCCAAAATCGTTGCCATAGTCACCGTAGCACCGTCGTCCTCGCCAGCGTCGCATGTTGCAGGCATTTCCATATCCGGACTTAGCATTAATAAGGTACTGCGACAACTGCGATTTTCATGCATGACTAGGCCGTTCACAAGTTTCTGCACGACTCGATCCACATATTCATGGTAATAACCCCTGAACTCGAGATTGCCGTAAATGCCTATTTCTATCGATATGATTAGTACTACTATTACTATTACTGTTACTGTTACTCTTATTATTATTGCTCGTGCTCTTATCATGGACTGTTATAGTGCTGCATGATTCAATGACTCAGACCGTTTTGCTTGTTGTTGACGGCCTCATTAGCTGGTAAATATCATCCACAGCACATGTGCGAATGCCAGCGCTGCCATCTGCTAGTCGTACTTCTGCTTTCGCACATACTACTATACTTCTTGCTAGTCTTCTTCTTCGCTGATCTTGAACCTACCTACTGTACTACTTGCTACTTCTCTTGCTACTGCTGCGCTGCTGCCATGCTGCTGGTGCAGTAAGTGGTACTGCCGCAGCTGCTTCGGCAGCTGCTGACCACCTCTTCTGCACTGCACCACCACCAGTACTGCACTTCCTCATTGAGCGACTGCTGGCGCTGCGGCTGCTACTGATGCCCCTATGTACCTCCACTGCTGCTGCAGCCGCTGGTGCTCCATGGTGTCCCTACCGCGTAGCACTACCTAATATAGGGGCCTTACTGATTAGAATAGGGTTTCGGGGTATATCAGACTAAAACTATAATAAAGAGCCCCCAAAATAGTCTCAGTGTCCCTATATTATGTGTGTGGAATGCTCTTGACTCTCGAGCCGACCTTCGTAGAGAGGACATGTTTCGGATACGCCATCGTTGGCGACGGAACAAAACACGCGCCGCTCGCAGAGCCCGCCGCGTCCTTGTCAGGGCTGAGTCAGGGGTCGAAAGATGAGGGCAGCTGAGCTCTGGTGATCCCCTAGATTAGACCCAAGAGTAGCCTTGGAATAACAAGGGCGCCCGTTTTGGGTTTAAAGGGTGTTATAAGAGAACCTACTCTGGGTCCTAGTAGACATCCCAGACGGCGTGCGCTCAGCATCACGCTGGGTAGGCTTTGTTTCAGGCTTCGTGGCATACGTTTAACACTGGGCACGGCCTGCCGATCCTGGCAAGTTTTTGCTCCGATCTAGGGTTTACGGTGACCTTATGTTTTAGCTCACGGGTCCTACTGCTGATGGACAAAACCCTGCATGACCCTAAGGACTCTAAACTATGGGAACTATGGTATATTACTTATAATGGGTAGTGCAGGATTTTGTCCATCAACAGTAGTGTAATTGACCTGGATTCGTGGTGCGACCCTGCGACAAAAAATGAAAACCCACCGGTTCAGGGCCTTTGGGGATGCGGATTGTACTTAAAGGATCATGGGACTTAGTAACGCGGGTTATAATTAGGGGAACTATACTTATAATTTCTTATAAACCCCAATTAAGGTACTTATAACTCCACTTACTAAGTCCCATGATCCTCCAAGTATCTTTCCGTACGGCTGTGGTTTGTCGCGTATCTTTTGCCTGACGACGTGCTCTGCCAAGCCTGTGAATCCGACAGCCCCATCGTTCCTAGGATACCCAGTAACCTAAGAATAAAAAGGCCTCTCTTTTTGGTATTGGGTAACTTTATAAGGAACCTAGGACTACAAAAAGGGAAGAAGGGTACTACTGGGCATCCTAGCTTCGGTGTTCACGCAGTAACCCGGAAGCTGTTCCCCAACCCCATGCCCGGAACATCCCTCAACCACGGATCCGGAAACTTCAACCATGCCCACCGTACGACCGTATCCCCAACCGTAGGCCCACAGAGGACTCCGAGACTTGCCTGTTGGGCAGTAGCCGCAAGGCCAGTAGACACGATGCTCCGGTGGCAAGCTTTCACGGTAGGCTGCGCACTTCTCACAGTCCATGCAGTACCTGGTGGAGCTTGCCAGGGAGAGTGCCCATACTTCAATCCTTGAGGCAGATCCCTGAATGCCCCCTGTCATTCGTGTATAGCTGCAGTGTCGAAGAAACCTACCGTTATAATTAGTCGGCAAGTCTTTATTGGCATTTGCAGGTCATACATGTCAGGCCTGGTAAGGTGCACAAGCATGGCTTCTCATTGCGACGACGTGGTTCCAATATCGGGGTTGAGGGTTTAGGGTTGATGACATGCATTGCGAATGATTCGATATTTAGGGTCCAAATGCAGCACGACACGATGAAGCGCTGTTTCCTCGAGCTTCCATATAGCTCTCAACCTGCTGTATTCCATACTGCGAGGCCTTGCAAAGGCCCACCTTATCCCCAACCCCGCTAAATTTTGAAAAATCCCCTTGAACCTCCAAACCCTAAACTCTCAAGGACGGCTGTTGTGAAGGGGTTATCACAGCTTTCGATTTCATGAGGTGGTGGTGGTTGTGGCGGGTTCAGGATATATCAGAAAACTTCCAAACCGAGAGCCCAAACCATGAAACCCTCCAACACTAAACCCCGTGTACAGAAACTATGAGCAAGACTTGTTATTCAAATCGTCCACACCCCTACCTTACGCCAAAGAAGAGCAGACAGTGTTGTAAATGCATGGCAATTGTTTGTATCGTACATGTAGGGGCCCTAATAATTTCCTATACTATTCTTGGGTTTCCTGTATTATTAGTATACTATAACGGGCCCCAAAAAGCCTTATTCTAATTATTAAGGCCCTTAGCCAAGTGGCTGGTCGGGTCGGCATTGAATGTTGGCATCGCAGCCCTTCTGCAGTGGACAAGTGTTGTCGATACCGTCGTTGGCCTTGAAGCTGAAGGAGCTGTCTAATTTTTCGGGGGGGTCCAGTGTTATAGGATAGGGTTTCGGGGGGGTATATCTTACATTTTACCAGAACTGTAATAACGAATCCTACGGAATAACATATGTATGTGATTATTCCGGCTTCTACAGTATGGTATGTGCGCCGGTTTCAGGCTTCCTGCCGAAGCCGTGACAGTCAAAGATGCTCTGAGATGTCAGTACTGTCATGAAGAGTGGCCAACAGTGCCTTCTGTTACGACTTCTGAGCTCCCCTGTAAGGGCTCCCTGAAGGATTCCTTTAAGGGATCATTTAAGGGTTCCTTTAAGGGACCCTTTGAGGGATCCTTAAGCGATATCAAGAGTCACCGTCGGGGAAGCTGCTGCGGCGGTGGCAGAAATAGCAGCGACAGGAGTCGCCATGGTCGTAGCAGTAGTAGTAGTAGTAGTAGTAGTAGTAGTAGTAGTAGTAGTAGTAGTAGTAGTAGTAGTAGTAGTAGTACAGCAATAGTCGTCGTAGTAGATGTTCCCCCTCTCAACCCATCAACCCTAAACCCTCCCAAAAGGGGCAAGCCCCTGCTGTTCATGTGTGGGTCGACCCTTCCACCCCTAGGTGGGCAGGAACACAATGTCGTGCTTCCAAACTGTAACACCCCAAACTGTAACTCCTGTACACATCTAGCGAAACTAAGGAATTAACTTTAGCAACACCTTCGTTTTGTTGTGCTTACTTCCAGCTACTATCTATTCAAAGGGTTTGAGTTTCAATGCTTATGACCATGAGGTCCATGACTGCAAAGCTTCGCATATCGGCAGACGGTATCGGAGGTAAACTATACGTCAAGGATGAGGCTTCCGGTCGTGGCAATCAATCAATGCAGGGTTCTTCAAGCAAAGTTAGCAGTAAGCAAAACAACTTTACAGGCCCCACAGCTGCTTTGGGTAGCATTGCAATCTCACGTAAGTTGGACTTTTGTTGTCAGTTCTGGCTCTCTCCATTTTAGTCTGGATCCCAACAGGCAGACAGGAGGCGATCTGGCAGATGCTTGCAGGTTCGCAGATCCCGCCGCCCACTGTGGGGCATGGCTCACAAGGCCACCTCAGCAACAGACGCTTTGCAAAGGACTTTCAATCCCAGACCCTCCACCCGAAACGACGCCAACTCGCACACCCTCAACCTCAGACCCTGGACCCCAAGACATATCAGAAGCCCAAAAACCCCCACAGCCTGTCTGGAGCGCCAAACCCTAAACCCCACAAGCCCCATACCTTGCACCCTCAACCCTCATCCCTACAAGCTCCTAAGCCCCTAAACCCTACAAGCCCTGAATTCTAAGCCTGTGAAACCCAAACCAAATCCGGTAACCTAAACTCGGAGCACTCGACCCTCTAAGCCGTAATCCCGGAACTCTCTAAACCCCGCTGGGAGACTTGGGACGCTCGCTCTCCGCCAGAGAGTTCCGAAAAGCCAGGCAGAGCTCGCAGCTTTCGCAGTACTCCTCGGATCGAGGATGTAGTGGATTTAACGGTTAAAGGGTTTAGAGATTTGGGTTTAGGATTGAGGGTTTATTGGATTTGACGTTTTTACGGTTTAGGGATTTGGGCTGATTTGGGTTTAGGATTGAGGGTTTAGGATGGTTCAGGATTCAGAGTTTAGGCCTTAGGATTTACGGTCAGGGCTTACGATGATCGACGGGGTGCTTCTGAGGCCTTCTTCGAGGACGCCTTAGGGCTTCTACAGAGGTTCTACAGAGGTCATGTGGGGTTTGGGGTTTGGAGTTTAAAGGTTTTGTGTTTTGCGACTTAAGGGTTCAGAGGCTTAGAGTTTTGGGTTGTTGATTTGGTTTGCGGTTAATTTAGAAGCACAGTAAACAAGATTTTGCACTTTGGCGACTGGATGTCTCAAGTCTAAGATGTTTCGCTTTAGGGCTTGGGTTGGTTCAGCTCTTGAATAAGTTTCTGACGCCTCTTGTCTGCCTGGCTTAGCATAGCTCGAGGGCTTCACATGTTGAGGTTAAAACTCCAGGCTCCGTGGTGACACTCTGCCTCCGAGGCACACCCATACCCCCACACCCGCTAACCTTAAACCCTAAACCCCTGAACCCTAAAGCCACAAAACCCCTAAACCCTAAACCCCTAAACCCTAAACCCACCCGCACGCGCGCAAGCGCACACAAAGGACCTCCGCTGGTTTTCGGCTTCTGCGTGCCGGGCTGCGCCTTCCTGGCAGTCGGAGTGCCGGGCACAGCCCGGTTCCTCCGGGCAGGATCCTGCAGGCGAAACTGGGACCGGCTTAAGGGGTTTAGGGACTTACGGTTTGGGGTTTAGGGATATGGGGTTTCAGGGTTTAGGGATATAGGGATTTGTTTTTTTTTTTTTTTTAAGATTTGGGTTAAGGTTTAGGGACTTGGGGTTTTTGGGGATTTAGGCTTTTCAGGGTTTGGAGGTGTTGGGTCAAGGATTTACGGTCTAAGGCTTTAGTCTAGCGTGTATAGGGCTCTAGAGTTTGACGGTTTAGAGTTTGGGGCTTTAGGGCTTTAGGGTGGCTCCAGAAAGACTTCTGACTTCGGGGCTATGCGAGAAAATACTATCCTAGACCCAAGAGTAACCCAGGCATAAAAAGGATGCCCTTTTTTGATTTAAAGGGGTTTATAAGGGAACCTGAACCCTAAAAAAGGTAATAAGGGCCTACTCTAGGTCCTAGCCACTGTTCCAACTCCAGTGGTCTTGTTTTTGGAGCTTTCGCTATACCATCCTTAGGACCAAACGCGTGATATATTCTGCTTTTTTTGGCACAAACATCAAAAGTAAAGCACCTCCTAAGGAGACTCTAGGAATAGTTTCGAAGCCGATAGGATCTCGCAAGCAAAGGTGTGCCCGCCCCCAGAACCTCCCCTCATAAATCGCACCTTCAACCTATGGTCTCCATTGTAGTTCCTTTTTTGGTTTAACTGAAGATATACTAAGGATCCGAAAGATAATCCTGGATCCTATGATTATAAACGGTAACCCCAAATGAGGAATTACAATGGAGACTACCGTGACTACAGGAAGGATTTAGGTTTAGGGTTCAGGGCTCAGACCCCCTTCTGTGGTGAGGAGGCTAGTGTGAACCGCTGCTGAAATCGAAACACTTCCGCTAATGAAGATCATCGCGGGGATCTCAACATGAGTGTCCATAGAGATGGGGGGGCTGTGCCCATCAGGTGTCTCGGACCGTAAGCGCCACAGCCCATACCCTGAAAATCACAAGAAACCTGCAAACCCTAAAGCCAAAAGCCCAAACCTAAACCCCAAACCCAAACCCTGAACCCAAATTCTCAATCCTAAACCTTAAAACCCAAACTCTCAATCCTAAATCCTAAACCCCAAACTAAACCCCGGTGGATAACTCCCAAACCCTCCCCTCCCCTCCCCTCCTACCCTACTTAGAGGATCATGCGACTTAGTAAGTAGGTTATAACTGGGGTTATAAGTCCCCTAAGTGGGGTTATCCTAATTATAACTTACTTATAACCTTACTTACTAAGTCCCATGAGCCTCCAAGTACCCTACCCAAACCCAGTCCTGAGACTGAGTCCTGACGGATGGGGCACCACCAAAGCTTCGAGCAGAAGCCGCCTTTCCTTCTTTTCTGCGACGGTTTTGTTACGGTTTTTAGGGGTTTAGGGGTTTTTTTTTAAGTGCAGTAGCCCCTTTTCCAGCAGAGTACGAGCTTGCTCCAGATGGAGCATGCACTAAGTCAAAAGGCCCTCTCGGGTTTAGGGTTTAGGGGTTTAGGGTTTTGGGTTTAGGGTTTATAGGGTTTAGGGTTTAGGCGGTTTAGGGTTTATAGGGTTTATAGGGTTTATAGGGCTTATAGGGTTTATAGGGTTTAGGGGGCTTAGGGGGTAGGGTTTAGGGTTTAGGGTTTGGGGTTTAGGGGTTTGGGGGTTTAGGGTTTAGGGTTCAGGACATTGAGGTTCAGGGTTTGGAGCGATTCAGGGGTTTACTACGGTTAAGGCCGGGTTATAAGCTTCATAGGGTTCAGGGGTTTCGGTGAAAGAGTCTGGGTTCAGGCGTGGGTGATGTGGCTGACGACGATTCTGATGCCGATGTGTTGGAACACTCGCGAAACACGCCAGACCTACGCTGAAAAGAACATCTCGCCCGGTGCTGCAACTATACTGAACTCAGACCCCTAGCAAAAAATAATAATTTCAGCTGTTTCTTAGGGATTTTCACAACCAAGGATTAAAAATCATTGGTAGTTACCCGTTACCCCGCAGTCAAACTTTAATCTACTGAGATCCAGTCGGAAAGTAGGCGCGGGTATCTCAAGCAAAGGTCTAGGCTTCACTAGCTCACCGGCGCTTAGGTTTATGGGGCTTGGGCTTTGGGGCTGTAGCGGCGATGTTGCGATTTCTGCTGGCTGCTGCGGTTGCCGCTCGGAGCCTGAGGCACCCTCAGAAACGATCCGAAATTCGCAACATGGTCGAAAAGTCCCTCAATTAAGCAGTTTAGTGATGCGAGGTGTGTTCCTCAATTACAGGTTTCTGGAGGTTCTGGGCACGACAGCCGTTCATCCAAGCTTCTCGGTGGGGCAGGGCTCACAGCGCCAGATCGTCTCATTCGTTCCTGGGCATCTTCCCTAAATCCTAAACCCTGGCATAGGCATAGGCGTAGGCATGGACATCGGCACAGGCACGGGCATGGGTGCAAGTGTGTAACTGCATATGTGTGTGTGTATATGTATGTATGCATGTACGTAGGTATGTACATATATATGTATATATGTGTGTGTGTGTATGCGCATTATGGTACTTCATGTTGACATGTTATACTTCAGATGGAACTCTTCAGCTTTACACAGATACAGAGACACTACATCGAGCCGATCCAGAAACAACCTGCTTAAACCTGCAAACCCTGAGACCCCAAACACATGCGCTCTTATCGCACAATCACTGAGGTCCCGTCCATGCGTCTTGATATACTCCTGGCATTTGGCGCAGGAGTAGCAGTACTCGGTGTCTTCGCAGTCGCTGTGCTGACTGCATCCGGGATACTTCGTGGGGCACTGTCCTGCGGCGATCAGGGCTTAGAGTGTCAGGAGTGCGAAACCCCAAACCGCACAGCTGTCAACTAATTACAGCACATCCGGGAAGGCATGATGCTGCATGAAAGAGAGGGAGCCGTACAAACTGGCAATGCCATCCTTCTGCCGGATCTTGTGCCACAGTGCAATACCTGGGATTCGTGGAGGTGCGGGCAATTGGGGAATTCTTGCAACGTAATAACATAATATCGCATGTTTTGTATACAACTCCAACTACCTGAGGGGAACCTTGATTCAGAGCACTCCCAGCCGGCTCTTGTGCGGAGCTTGGGCATGTCGCTTCAGAGGCATGAAGACTTGTAGGCTTAAGATCGCGGCAGTGGGTCTGGCGTTGTGTCATGTTTTGGCGTGAAGAGCCTGTATCAACAACTCTGGTGCTGATGTTGGCCAGTTCATGTTTGTCACCACAACCACCGTCATACTGACAGTAGTTCAAGTCATGGAACTGTACACGCACCATTGGCAGCAGCAGGAGCACAGGAGTGGGACCACTGCCCGTGCCACCACTGAAATTCATCATAATAGCAATAGGAATGATGCTAGCAGTACAAATAATACTTCGACGACCGCGACGACCACCACCACAACCACCACCACCACCACCACCACCACCACCACCACCACCACCACCACCACCACCACCACCACCACCACCACCACCACCACCACCACCACCACCACCACCACCACCACCACCACCACCACCACCACCACCACCACCAAAAACACCACCACGTGCCGCACGAGTACTTCTACTCATACTCTGCCACCATTACGACTTATAGCGACCACCTGACACTCCACATCATCTGCAGTATCATGAAGCAACCACACAACAGGTTTCAGAGCTTTTTATAAGGCCCCTCTAGAAGCCCCTGCACAGAACGCGACCCAGCTGCTTCCCAGACTCACAAATGTTCGCGCCATCTTGGCACGGATCGCAGGTCCACCGCCTGGCTCTGCTGGTGTTTGTATTGATTCATCCCTGATAGGACTCCACCCGAGTTTAGGGTTTAGGGTTACACCTTGATGCCTTAACCCTAGAGGAGACAAGATGCCAAACTTCGAACCTACGCCAGAAAGCCCGACCGACCTCTGCAAAATTCATAGTCATAGCCGTCTGCAGAACATTCTAAACTTCCGATGTACGGAGTCTGAATACCAATATAGCCTCCATTATAGTTCCTGGGTTGACTTAAGGGCCATAAAATGAAGTTCGTTCAACAAAAACAAGTAACTACGTTGGAGACTTTTGCGATGTCTAGTCTATTGTTCGTATTTCTAGTAATATGATTACTACTCGGTTGATATCAACGGTTATTCCTTTCACAGATCCGATGCGGGCTCTCTGAATATGTCTACGAAGCTTCGGAAGGTCACAAGCCTCTGGGTTTCCTGTGGAAGCGAGGCATGGTACTCGCCGCATTTGCTGCAGCTCCTGGGATGTGGAATGATGAGCTTTCTTTCGGTTTAGGGCTCAGGGTTAGTTTGTCTTCTAAGGGTGCTTGTTACCTCAGCATCCAACTGCGTCGTGAAAGAATTCGGGTTAAGGGTTTTGAGGGAACTTCCCAAAACCCTGAACCCTAGAAGCTATCGGAGAGCCAACGAGCCGCACTGGCTCGGCTGTCTCGAAGCACAAGTTTTCAGTGCTTCCACCGTCCGGCGGTTAGGGGTTTTTTCACCCTAGAGCCAAAACCCCTAACCCCACCCCGCAAGCCCCAAATCTAAAATGTCGTCCCTTCTTCCTGTCGGCTTGGCCAACGCCGAAATTACCCTAGCCACAAGCCTACCCCTGCACACACCCTGCGCGCAGATCCAGATACGAAATCCTATGCCAGGTCTTGCAACCTAAACCCAGGATGTAGGTTTACGATCTAAAGTACCAAACCTGAACGCTGAAGCCGAGTTCAAGCCATGGCTCATGCAATATCGGTTCGGACCACAGTCAGCTGTAGTGGAGCACCGCTCTTCTTGAAGCCTTCTGTGGTCCTTCCAAACCTTCGTTCAAGGTGTTGGGATGTGGGTTGGGGTCGGCAATGGAGCTAGGGCTAAGGGTTTCCGGGGTATCTTGTTCTGAGTCCGAAACCCCAAACCCTATTATGCCGAAACCGTAGACCCCCCAAAACCCCGAAACCCATATCTCGGCGGGATTCTTATCAACAGATCTCGAAAAAAGGCGCTTGGATCCAGACACCCCCAAACTCATCAAAAGCCTGAAACCACAAACCCTGCCCTTCGACACGCAACCAAGGGAAGCAGGCAGTGTAGCTCATGTTGCGGTGCTGGGTTGAGGGCTCAGGCTCAAAGCTTTAAGCGGTGACTCGTTTACTTGTTGACTTGCTCATTTACTTGCTCATTATTCCTTCTGTGTGCGTGTATGTTTAGTAGACCTGTCACCACATATATATATATATATACATGCAGATATACCTACATGTGGAGGTATGTGATATTGTATGCATTCTGTTTGTCTACTCTTTGTTATTAGGCATAGTAGCAAAAGTCTCCATTGTAGTTCCTTGTTGGGGTTGCCTTTTGGGATCCTCAATATAAAATTGGTTAAACCAAAAGAAGGAACTACAACGGAGACTAAGCCGGGCGGCATAGGCTCGGTCCTTGGAGCCCTGGACGCGGCGTCGCAGACGTCTCTGCGGCTTCGCCGCGACGGCCTTGAGGCGATGACATACTCGACTATACAATAATGGACGATGATATGGTATGGATAGATAGATCGACAAACATGTTCGATGATACCATAAGATACTAAAGCCTATACATATACTAGATTCGAATATAAAAAACACTATGGAACACGACCATAGACTAGCTCAGACGAAAATACCGTGATAACATGACGATACTCTCATATGGGTGGTTGTCACAAATTAGGGTCGGTGGGTGGGTGGTTCGGTGAGCGGGGAGGTGCCTATGCCGCAAGGCTGGGAGGAATCATGCGGTATTCTGGAGTAGTAGGTAGAATTGGGTTTCGGGGATTATACTAGAACCATGACTACAAGGAGGAGCTACTGGTAATTATCCAGGCTTCCATATTACCGGCCCGGTTCTATCTTAAAGAACTTGTCAAAGAACACTGAAGAGTAGCATTATCTACTCAAAAACTTGAACTCCTGGGTATATTATAGGTTATTATGGAAGGGTCATGCTGGATCAAGATGAAGAATGCGTCATGGAGGGCCCTGTGTTTCCTTCCCTGACAGTACGTGACCTAAACGGCTTAACCCTTACCCCCAAGTCCCATGTCAGCCTGCTTCTGAATGGCGACAGAACTTTGGGGCCACGTCCTGAAGAGTTTCAAAATGCAAAGCTGGTGCAACAGCACTGTAAGTTTCTTCGTGGGTTTGCCTTTAAAGTAACAGCAGCAATAATCCACTATGACAAGTATCATGCATATTTCTTGCGGCAGTCAGAATTGAAACGAGGGTAGGGCTTTGCGAGTTCGCGTTTCAGGGACCTTGCATTTCGGGTTGAGGGGTTTAGGGCTTATAGGGTTTAGGGCCACACTTGCTGAGAATTCCTTGCCGGAAAGTCCTGGTGGAAGATTCTCGCGCCAGTGGTTGTGGCCACGAGGGAAACCTGTGCATCTGCGAGGCTGGGTTGGCCTTTAAACACCCTGAAAAATATTTATATATAGGGTCCCTTATAAACCCAAATAAGGAAAATAACAAATGTCCCCAAAATCCAACCTAGGAGGTATCACTGCTGCGGCTCCGGACTTGCGCAAGGATTGACAAAACCCGGCAGACTGCTCGGGTTCGTCTACTGATTCACGTAAGCCACGCATCCCACTAGTCTTCGATCCTTGCAAACCTGTTCCTCTTCCACCTTGACAACCCCAACAACTTGCATTCAACTTGCATTTCACGGCAAAACGCTACAGCGCATTTTGAGACCACTGAGGTATCAGGATCCAAGGTTCGAGGCATAGGGGGAAACTAGAAGCCCTAGCCATTCGATAAACCCCTAAACCCTCCCAACCCCAGGTACATAGACCCTTAGGGTTAGACTTTGAGTTGCTCCGGTGTAGTTCCGGTGTTGGGGCTCCGTGTAAATATCTATCTATATCATATATTGTATATCTGTGTATATATATATATATACATACATACTTAGGATCCCTGAAGGTAACCCAAATATGGAGACTATAGGTAAGTTTTTTTCGTTGAGGGATGTGCAAAACCAGGATGCTCCGGCACAGCTGCTTCTCCGGCCGGCGGCTGGGCCACGGCAATGAGGCACCTTAGAGTTTAGCGATTTTTGGGGGTTTGGGGAATGGAGGGATTTAGGGTTTCCGAGTCAGGGTTCAGGGATTCAATTTACCAGATTTAGGCTATTTCGGGTGTCAGGTTTCGGGATTAGCGTTTAGGGACTTTTGATGTTTCCTTACAGATCCACTTACTCAAATAGTAGGTAACCAGGCACATAATGTGATAGCCAGTAGGCCGATATTGAGGTACATGGATCCCTAGAGGTTTAAACCTTAACCCTGAAATCACCTTTTGCAGGACTTATACAAGGAGATCATATTCAGGAACCCCCAAAGCGGTAGGCTTCTTAGGGTCCAGGTCGTGGTTTGTCGTGTTTGCAGGCTACCGATGCCAAGTAGGATGCCTCACAGAGGATACGTTTGCAAGGGAGGCTAGAAAACTCGGATCCGATCTCCCAAGTACCCAGACCTTCCAAAATCCTTTAATTAAGGAGTATACCTTAAACTATAATAGGATCCCTAATATGAATTAAGGTATCTTCCTCAATTCAGGTATTTTGGAAGGTCTGGGTATACACCCAAGATCAATCAAGGGTCAAGGGTCTAGGGTTTCAAGACCGAGGCGCAGCAAGCAATGAATTCGGGCCATGTCGAAACGCTTCGAGATGGCGAAAAGCAAACCTAAACCTTGCAAGCTAGCGGGAAAGAAGTCGCATGTTGTTTTATGACAGCAAAGTGGCACATGCATGGGTCAAGGGACTCTGCAACCTGTCGTCGAGGACATCGATGTCTTATTGAGGACTCGTGCTGCCGCTGCCCTGCATGTTTTCTGTCTGGTTGAGCCACGCAGCGGAAGGACATCACATACTCGCACCTAGGGTTTAGGGTTTAGGGTAGCTCCGATAGCTCCAACCTTTTAGATTCGTTTTGACCTGTTGGGCGCAGGCTTCGGACCCTCATGGGCATCGTTCGTGTGTGCTGTGGTCCTGTAAACGGGCCTCTGCCTCTTACTCTCCCTTCGCAATCCATGGTGAGGCTAAAAACGCATTTTCAGCCTGCACTTCAGGTAGTAGGAACAATCATAGCAGCAAGCACAAGAATAACATTCATAGTCATATAGACCATCTAGAGTAGCAATAATAGCATTCATACACGAACCGAGGAGCTTAGCGCGAAGGGAGCTCTTACCAACATCCCGAGATGAGTGCTTCTCTCACTCGGAGTTGCTCTGGGTGTATCTCACTTTTGCGCCCGGGCCTGACATGGGGAGCTAAGTTGAAGGTCCGTTGAAAGTTTCAAGATTGGTTGACTAATACAGGGGCCTTAATAATTAGAGAATAGGGTTTTGGGGCATCTTATACTATAGCCATAATCAGGAGCCCCCAAAATTGTATAGGTAACTATTTAGGCTCCTCTATGAGGTTCCGGCGTCCAGCCATGAAGCCCCTGTTGCCAAGTACCGTCATGGTTTGTGGGGTCGTTCTATTTCCCGCCGTGCTTCTTTGAAGTCCTGGCAGAACAAGCCTTGAGCAAACGCCCTTCTTGGGTTTAGGACCTTATAATTTACAGTTTAAGTTTTCGGAGTTTCGGTTAGCAGTCTCTATAGGTTGTAGAGAGGAGTTTGTTAATGGCGATGGTATTCCATCTCCAGCTGAGGTTCCACATTTAGGGAGTTAGGATTCGGGTTCAGGGGCCTTGCCGTCTAAAGTCCAACCACAGGCTTGTCCTTTGGACAAGCTTGGGCGGGAAAACGCCTAGACCCCTCTACAAAACTCTAAAGGCTGCTTAACCCCAGCCGAGGTTACTAGACCCTAAACCCCACAGTTCCTGGCTACGGTTTCGGGTTTAGGGGGATTTAAGGTTAGGGCTCAATTCCTAGACTCCTAACATCTATGGGCGAAAACCCCTCAGAGGCAGCTCAGTGCTGATGTTCAGCACCGGCCTCGGGAAACGGGACAATATACACGCCTAGACCGCTATCATGGGTTGTTTTTTCTTGCGAGGGTGTTCTCGAACTGTATAGGGTTGTAAATGAGGGACCTGTGTTGGGGCGTTGCGGCCTGTTCCAGTATAGCTGGCATCGGGCAACCAGGGGACGGTCTTGCCCTTGGATTCCTGATCCCAAAGTCCTGAACCCAAAACCATGGAACCTAAATCCTAAACCTTAAACCCCCAAAGGCCCTGAAGCCCAAAACCAAAACCCGAAACCCCTGAACCCTTAAACCCTGAGCCCCTAAAAACCTTTACCTCCGACTAAGACTATATTATGATAGCCCCAGAAGTTGAAAAGTCTGGTGTTAGGGTTTGCAGTTTATAAGTTTGGGTGATTATGAGCTTTATACACTGTACTGGGCTACAAAAAACAGCGCTTGTAGGGGTAAAAGGGATTTAGGCTTTAGGGTAGCGGGGGGATCTGAGAGCTATGTTTGCGAGCTTAGGGGAAGCTGGAGGTGGAGGATGGAGGTGCTTATGCGCCAAGGGCACTGGGATGACTGGGGATGTGACGTTCAGAGCTTGGCAATGCTTCCGAGTTCAGGTCCCTTCATGCTATTGCGCCTATGTCCGATGATATGAGGTTTAGGGTTGCAGGGCCACAGATAATATGAGGCTTAGGGTTGCAGAGCCACAAACCACATCCAGAGAACGCTAGTTTAGAGTCCGACAAGTTTTGTTATACATTAGCCTACGGCGCACCGCAGTTAGTGCGCGGCGGTGGATCCTCGGTCGCCCCACGCTATCTATTACCAGGAGTACAGATAGCTTGGGATTGGAACTTTAGGGGTGAATTCCCCAGACCTTCCAAAATCCCTTAATTAAGGAATATACCTTAAACTATAATAGGATCCCTAATATGAATTAAGGTATATTCCTTAACTAAGGGATTTAGGAAGGTCTGGGTCGGTAGGCACTGAGGCTGGCACTGCCCCTTTGCCCGCCATGCGGAACTCGTGTTCGGTGGCGCAAACCAAGCACCTTAGAGTCTCAACCCTCTGCCCAATACTTTGAACAAGATCTGCAAAGAAGCTATCAGAACTGTATTTATGGGACCTTTTCTGGAGCTTTGTGCGACTATCCTACGAACCAGAGCGTCTGGTCGGTGCCCTAGTCTTCGGATTGTATCATTTTTTGATGGACAAGATGCTCTTGGCTAGCAACCTGTAATAACCCAATGTATGCAGGTCTTTCAAGTATATAAGTAGGCTTGCACAGTGGTGTGGGTGCCATTGCAGTGTTTCTTTAGGATGAGTTCCGAAGCTACATAGAAAATATCAGGAATACTGCTGTCTATAGGCTCTCAAACAAGTCTCTCTCACACACACACACATGCTGTCTCTATCGAGGGGCCGTTTCACGGCAACTCTATGAAGCAAAGGTGTCTGCCGGCCTCCTATTCTGAGTGCCGGCCTCACCCCACAACCGTATTATATACACCCTAAACCTCAACCCTATATAGCTAAATCAAACCACTACTGTATAACATCAGCCCCGAACCCGAAGAAGTTCAACAACCCCCAAGCCAAAAGCCTAAACACTGAAGCCCTGAACCCTATAAGGCCAAAACCTTAAACCCCCTAAACCCCATAAACTCTAAAACCCCTAATTAAACCCTAAAGCCCCTAAACCCTAAACCCCAAAAAACCCTAAACCCTAAAACCTTATATAAGCCCATAAGCCCCTAATTAAAACCTAAAACTCCTAAAACCCTAAAACCCCTAAACCCTAAAACCTTATATGAACCCATAGACCCTTCACCCATAAGCCCTAAACCCTAAACCCTAAGCCGCTCTTCTCTGGGCTCCCGGGCTGATAGCGAACCACGCGCGCTGCATCCTTGCGGTCTCTCATGTAGGCCTTGCGAAAGTCGTCGGATGGGCCGTTTAGGGTCTATAGGGGTTTAGGGTTTTAGGGTTTAGGGGTTTAGGAGTTTAGAGGTTTAGGGTTTAGTGGTTTAGGGGTTTGGGGGAGTGCTCTATGCGTACCTCAACGAATAATGTTCATGTGACACCTGCTTTAGTTGGGTGACCCCCTACACTCTGTAAGGCATTGGCCTGGAATAACTCGGGAAATCTGCCTTCTTCGGGCTGGGATGGCCAAACTTTATTGTAGGATACGATGATGCTTTGGGAGAGGGTCTGGAGGCAAGGAACTCAAAATAGAAACCTGAGAGGTCTCGCATTGATCCTTGTAATACTGACATAAGGAGCCCCAAATAAGGTACCCGTTGTTTTCGGAAACTCCCATATACAACCAACGGGTGTGTGAACGTGGGCCTGCTGCGTCTGCGCGTCCAGGCGCATCTCGCGGAATCTCTGGGCGTGCGCCTGGTAGTAGCTCTGGCTTGGGGTTTCGGGGTTTCGGGGTTTAGGGGTTTAGGGGTTCAGGGTCGGGGGTTTAGGGTCTAGGGTTCAAGAGTTTGGGGACTGAGATCTGGGCATTGGGGGGCAGGGTTTTGAACTCCCGAAATCCTTCAAGTTAAATGGGTTCCGTATTCTGATTGCTTATACATTCTTTCGGGCTTCATCCTGGGTTCTGGATTTCGGGGTTCAATGCTGAGAGTTGTCCCGGGCGTAGGACTCGAACAAGAATCTTTAAGCCCACCGCCGTTGCTGCTGGCCGAGGCTGTGCCGAGACATCCCGACCCGAAGTAAAACCTCTTTGGAACCTGCTCGATGCATTAAACCTCATGCAATCCCTGATCACAAAAAGTGACCCCGATAACACCCTTATGAACCCAATAGAAACCCTTTAAACCCTCACACGAATCCTTCACAAGACCTCATGAACCCCTCATGCTAAGGCTAAGGCCGAAAAACCATCCAAAACCCGTGGAACACTCTTTAAAGCACCTACAAACAAACTCCCTGCCTGAACCTTAAACCCTTTTCGCCCTAAGCCCTAACCCCTAAGCCCTAAACCCTAACCCGCAAAACGCCTAAACCGTAATTAATCCCCAACTAAACATCCCCTAAACCCTAACCCCCAACGCCTAAACCCTAATCCCAAACCCCCTGAAACCCTTTTAAATCAGGGCCCTGGCATGGTTCAGCGGGAGCACCGGCAATGCCGAGATTTCCAAGGCTGCCTCGCTCGGGCCCCTACTCAAAAAGTGTGAGGGAGAGCTTTTCTTGACAATCTGCAGGCATATCTCAGGGTCCCCTTTAAGGGTTACTGTAGGGCTCTAGAAAGGTTACTATAGGGTTCTAGAAAGGTTCAAGGTTACCTGCTCAGCTGCAGACATATAGATGTATCTTTTGACGGGTAGGTTGACAGATAGGTGGATACATGGATCAATAGGTAGTCGATTTACATAATTTGTTGGTGTCAGTTCTCATGTTTTTGTTGGTCGAGTGGTGCGTGTCCGGGGCATGTGGATAAGAACAAGGTTTGGGAGTCCAAGAGAACGGTGTTGGGTGTTGGGTTTAGGATTTAGACAGTGGTCGAGCATTTAGGGGCTTCGAATTTATTGTTCAGGTTTACGTAGACCTCAAGCCAAACAAAAGCTCACACTCCCAAACATTCCCGACAAGTACCAAGGAGGCTGCAGCCTACTCAGTTCTTTCCGCCGCCACGACAATTTATCCACCTTAAGAAAGTACTTGACATGTTGCCCTGATTGATACTATAGGGACTTTAATAATTAGAATAGGGTTTTGGTGTATGTAAATTATACTAAAGGCTAAAGGTACAATAAGGACAACCCCCAAAATAGTATAGGTAATTATCAAAGCCCCTATACGACTTGCTTGCCTTTCGCCCTCGGGAGGCCGTTGGCCTTGAGGGTCTGGGGGCATTGAGGAGCTAGATAAGACTTTGCTTCAGTACGCGACATCAACTAAACCCTAAGCCCTAAACCCTAAACCCTAAACCCCCGAAACCCCAGCAGGGATGGAATCTCGGAGCTCTGAGTCAGCTGTAACTTGTTGTTCCTGCTTCCGTGGTGTTCCATGCAACGCCAACACACTAGGTTCCACATGTCAGGTACCAGGAACGACCATTATGTCTCAAATTCACTTTTCGGATTCTGTAACAGAGTCTGAGCGCGCCCCTCCGTGGAACGCTCTAGAATTGAAAGCACTCCCTCCGGAGAGCACGGATTTCATCACAGCTTTAATTGCAGGAGCCAAGCTTCAAATCGATTTGGCTCTGCCCATGTGTCTTATTGCAACTTGAAAGAGGCAGGCCGCGGCGCAAAGTATAGAGTCCCATGTATAAATCCTAGACTATAAACTCCAAACTGTAAAGCGGCGCCTGCATCGAGTAGGCTTTTCGCTCACGCGGTGCCGATCGCCCACCTCCACCGTTAGCCTGTAGGGGAATGCCTAAGGGTTCTATAGGATAGCAACCCTCCCTATATAATCAGGGTGATTATGGCTCCAACAGGGTTCTTCGAGGACTCCACGAGGGTTCTACACGGGCTACACAGGCTTTAGGCGTTAATAACTAGAGGCCATTATACTATAGTTATAATAAAGAAGACCCAAAAAAGTTTAGTAGGTAATTGTTAAGGCCCCTGTACTACGGTCAAACTGTTGCCGCAGGGCACTCGATACGGCTTTCAATGGGGCATACACGGGTCGAAACATACACGCTTGTGAAAGGTTGGGCTTTGACGGAGATTTCTAAGGGTTCATAAGGCTTCGAAAGGAAGTCTGCAATGGTCTGTTGATCGCTTGCTCCCAAGATATCAGATTCATGAGAGACAGCACCAATTCGGCCAAAGCTCTGGTAGCTGGTTAAAGGGTTGACCGAACCAAGCAAATCTCAATCCCACCCCCTACACAAATCCGCACTGCACACCTTGAGAACACCAGGCTCATCCATATCATCGCTGTAGTCGCTGTCGTCATCCGCCCAAGCACCCTGCAGGAAGCTCTAGGAAGAGGGGCTGGGAGCTTGGGATGGTTGATAGCACCATTGAATATATATATATATATATATATATTATATTATATTATATTATATTATATTATATTATATTATATTATATGTTATATAATGTATTTTAGTTATATTAAATATTGTTTTATATATTATCATTGTATTAGCTTTCGGCTGTCCTGTTTCGCGATTTCGGTGCAAGATGGTTTGAGGTGACGGGGCACAGAAAGACGGATTCCATCTTGACAACAAGGGAGCAATTCAAAATATGCAAACAACAAACCAACCTACTCACCCACCCAACTATCCACCCGCCTGCTCGCTAAACCCAAGAACCGACACAAGTTGAAGTTTAGGTTGAATGCCTTGATACAGCTATGTGCACGTGCAAAAACACATCAACAAAACACACCCATTATCATGCATACAGGGTTGAGTGCCAGCCAGCCTACCTACCCAACTCCCTCCGGCCTGCCTGCCTGCCTGCCCACCTACCTTCTTCCCCCAAACTCTAAGCCCGAACTCCCATACCCTACGCGGAAAACCCCAAAGCCTAAACCGAAACTCTGTACTCCAAACCCTCAACCCCATATTCTAAGCCCGAAACCCAATACCCTACGCCTTAGACCGAAACCCTAAACCCTAAACCCAAAACTAGAACCCTAAGCCCGAAATCCAATACCCTACACCTTAGACCCCTATACGACTAAAACCAGCTTCCCACAGCCTCATCCAGCCCCGGGCTCTGAGAACCCCGAGCCTTCCAGTGGTGGGAGGTTGAAGTTTCTCTTTGAGGCTTTAGGGCTTATTGTTATTATTGCTTTTCTTTTTTTGGGGGGCGGGGTTGGGGGGTTAGGGTTTAGGGCTTTAGGGTTTCCGGGTTTAGGGTTTTAAGGTTTAGGTTGTTTGTTGGGGCTTAGGGTTTAGGGCTTTAGGGTTTGGCGGGGTTCAGGGCGTTTTTGTTGGGTGGTCTGGGGTTTGGGGCTGAAGTTTTCTTTTGGCTTGTAAGGGGTTATGGGGCTTGGGTCAGGGGTTCGGGCCTTAAGATCTTAGGGCTTTATGGGTTTGGGGTTTAGACTTTAGGGTCTTGCGGGTGCAGGTTTTGGGTTTACGGGTTGTGGGGCTATCACTCTTCGAAGGTCAAACCCCGAACTGCAAACTTCACCGGAAGGCTTGGGCTCAGGATTCCTTTCAGGATTCCTGCAAAGGTTACGACGCTGACGATAAGGGCTCCTTTTATTAAGGAGGTTCCGGGTTCTGGGTTGCAGGATCTAAGCCACAAACGCCTTAAATCCTAGATCCAGGATCTAGGATTCAAGGCGTTTGTGGTTTAGGGTTTCGGGTTTCTTGTTGGGGGTGAGGTTAGGGTTTGTGCTTTTGGCGTCTGCGGTTAAAAAGCGTCCTCGGGGTTCAACACCTCGGGTTTGCTTGACTGCGTCTCAAACCGGGGGGGTGTTCACATGAAGATACAAGCGACATCCGTTTATCCAACAAGGATTACAGAAGCAGCTTAACCCCAAACCCCAAAAGAACCCTCTAAGCTCTTAACTCTAAATCCCTAAGAAAAGCGTAAAGCCTCAACAGCCTGACCCCAAAAGCCACTAGACGCTACAGCCGTAAAGCCCTCGCCCCCTTATCCCGGAAACCCTAAACTTGGAACGAAGGAACCCTCAGAGGAATCCGTAGTTTCACGATACCGAGAAAGCAACCCCAAAAAGAAACTCCGCTCGACTTAGAGCCGCTTGCTTGTTACCCTAACCCCAGACCTTTGGGGCTACTTTGGGTTTAGGGTTTAGGGTTGAGGGTTTAGGGCCCTAAACACTAAGTCCGAAACCCCACACCCTAAACACTAACGGCCCCCTGCGGGCCTGAGCAGGTCCGGCAGCAGCTGACGGAGACTTCGACACCATCTTCTTGCCTTGCGAGTTCGGGCTAATTTTTGTCGGGAGTTCGCTTCTTTTAGGGTGTAGGCTTGCTCTGGGTTTAGACTTTAGGCCGGGGGGCATCGGGGTTTAGGGGACAAACGGTTCAGCCACTGAATCGCTGCAGGCGTGGACCTTGCACATGTAAGCCATGTAAGCCCCTAGAACAGCATGGAAACCTGCTGCAACCTGCTTAATCCGAAACGCTCGCAAAGTGCTCAGAAACCTTTCTACCCCAAGCCCTACAAGCACTTGTCGACCTTGAGACGATGTCCCGTTCTAATCATTTGCTGTAATACGAGCATGCCCCCAAACCTTTCTCCGATCACTCAGGCCCCCTACTAAACCCGATTACGGTTGAGGGTTTAGGGTTGAGGGTTTTATTTAAAAAGGAAAGCCAGCGCAGGTTGCCTGTGAGTTGGCTGCCATTGGTGGAGTTCGCCGTCTGCAGCTTCGGCAGTGGCTCCTTCGATGGTGCACCTCTCCAGGTGAGGAGGTTGGCTTACTTGCCTTGCTTGTCTGGGGTGAAGTGGGGGAAACAGGTTTAGGGACTAGGGCTTGCGGTTCAGAGCTCCAGGCTCAGGGGGTTGAGGCTTAGGCTTCAGAGCCTCGGGGGCGCTTACGTGCGTGTGCATACGTAGATGCGTCCGGACAGATACTAGTAGCTGTGAAAGAGAGCGACAAAGAAAGAAAGAGAGAGAAAGAGAGAGTGAGAGAGAGAGAGAGAGGATAGAGAGAAAGCGAGAGGGAGGGGTAGAGGGAGAGAGGGTGGGGGAGAGCGGTAGTCCCATTGATACACACATATACATTTAATTTTGCATTCACACACACACACACGCATGACGCATGCAAACGAAAAAACAAGTTAACAAACAAACAAGCAAGCAAACGAACAAACAAATAAACAAGTTACTAATCAAACAAAGGAATGAAGGCCTCTCCAGATCTAAATGTATAGATATAGGTGTATAGATAGGCAGGCAGACAGACAGACGGACGTACAGACAGCCAGGCAGGCAGACAGGCAGACCGAGAAAGAAAAAGGTAGACAAATAGATAGATAGGTACATGGTGAAATCGATAGGTCGAAGAATCCCCAACCCCAAAAGAGTTCCCGCCTCGACCCGAAGGCGAACCAGCCTTGCAGAAGTGGACTGGGTTTCGAGATTTCAAGAACTTAAGGACTTACGGGATCAGGATTTGGGGTTGCGATTTAGGGTCCGGGGGCAGGGTTTAGGGCTCCGGCTTAGAATTTAGGTTGGGTTCGATGTTGATGTGGGGCTTCCGGCCAGCCTTGTTGAAGAGTGATTTCCCCATGCCCTCGCGCATCAAGTTCACGCACTTGATCTTGTCCTCCGGGATTTTGCAGGATACCTATGGTCTCCATTGCAGTTCCTTTTTCTGGCTCAACCAACTATATATATATATATATATATATATATATATATATATAGATCAAGAATCCTATAAAGTAACCCCAAAAAGGAACTAGAATGGAGACTAAAAGGAACCAGGATGGAGACTACAGATAGCTGGGGTTCGGAAAGAAGGTCGTAGCGACTTACGTCGGGTCTCGGGCTTTGGGGTTGGAGGTTTACGACTTGCGGTTCAGGGGTGTCGAGGGATTCGCATGTTTTTTTTTTTTGGGGGGGGGAACTGCATGGAAGGGAGAATATTGAAATAGTTTCTGACCCGACATACAGCATGGGGATTATAAAGGGACCACGAGGCCCTCATGAAACCACAAGCCCTGAACCCTAAACTAAACTCTAAACCCTAAGCCCTAAACTCGAAGCTTGAAACGAAGCTGGAAGCCCAACTAAAGGACCCTGACTGCAAGCACCTCCAAAAAAACATCGAAACAGCCCAAGCAACACAAGAACCCCGCACCCGCACCCGATTCAACTCTATGTAAACCTTGAGCCCGAAACCCTGAACTCCAAGATAGACCTCGCGCCCCCCTCCCCCTTCCCCCCTTAGTACGCTTGTGGTACCCCTTGTGGCACCCTCACAGCACCCTTTGTACCCTTGAGGGAGCCCTTCGGGTCCTGCAAGTCTTCGGAGTGCATGAAGGGCAGGTACAGCGCCCAGCGTTTGGGACCGGGGGGCCAGTGGTGCCTCGGATCTAAGGGGTTTGGGACTTTTGGGGGTGGCGGGGGCTTAAGGCTTAAGGGTTTAGGGCTCGTCTTGGTGTTGAAGTTTTTGCGTTCGTTTGGAAGACGGTGTGAAGAAGATGTCGTGGTTTCGGGGGTTAAACTAGGCGCTCAGTTGTTTGGCCTTCGGGGTATTATCGACCACAGACTTTCGCCGAGTTCTTGTTTTCGGCAGATTTGGAATATTGGGGTGCCGGATCTTTGGCTTCTGGGTTTTCGGGGTGTTGGGGTTCAGGGCTTCAGGGCTTTTGGAGCTTTTGTATTTTGTAGTCAAGCGTCTTGGTTGTGGAGGTCTAGGGCGTTCGGTTGGAGCTTAGGTTGATGAAAAGCCCCCTGAAATTAAAGTACGAACAAGTGCTGCATGTTCATACCGGGCCGCTGGTGTCAGGGTGACGAATCCGGACTGAGTGTCGGCTCTTTCTGTTGTACTGATTGTGATAATACACATAATATCAAAAATCAACAGTACTCATAGTAACAATCATCATATACACTGGAAATATTTGGAGCCAGCCTACCCCCTTCTCTACCCGGAACGAACATCCCGAAACCCTAAAACCCCGTCTGCTACAGACCCTGAGGCCCATCAATAGAAATCCAAATGTCCTCCATACCCTATAACCCTGAAACACCCAAACTCCCAACCCCATAAGCCCAAAACCTCTAAATTCAAAACCCCTAAACCGAAAACCGGTTAATCCTAAACCCCCTCTCTGCCGGGAAGCTTGTCATCCCCTCTTTGTATCGCTGAATTGGCGGCCACCCGGGCTGCAACGTCGCAGGTGTAGGCCGCAGGCGTGTTTCGATACCTCTAGGACAAGGGTTGATGGGGTTTGGGTATAGGGTTTAGGGAGCAGGGCTAGTAATTACGGTTTGGGGGTGGTCTGGGACTTTTCGGGAGCTAAAGGCCCTAAGCAGCGTGAAAGTGCAGTGCTTTGTAAATGACCACATGCGTCAATAAGGCCCCCACAAACATCGCGAGAACTGGTCGAGAATGACCACCAGGGCCAAGCAGGTTTCCTCATGTTGTCGGTGGCAAAACTGCAAATCAGGGGAGCCCATTCCTCTGGTCGCTATACGTTCTTCTTCTCGAATGCATGGGTCGTGGGATCAACGTCACTGTGTGTTTCCATCACCATCGCAATGTTGGCACACTCATCAGTAGCAGCAAAAACAGCTAGTAGTGATGCGCCATAAACACCATCATCAACCTCACTCTCACCTTCCATCCTCGTCACGCCTCTCCCCAGACCCCGGGAGGATCTTGGAATCTTCATACGGTTTCGTGGGGTCTGGGGCCGGCACTGCGTGGTGCGCCCAGCCTGACAACTCTCCGGCAGCCGCCCGCGAGTGAAGTGCCTCGCAAAGAAGAAAAACCTAAACGGCCCTTTTATCAATCTTCAGAGCGCGATTTTGGGGTGCATGGTATACTTACATAGTGACTACCCGGACCCCAAAAGTATATAGAACAGTAGGCTTTTGTAGGTATCGGACCAGTATTACTAGAAGGTCAAACCTCAACCCTAATTAAACCCTAAAGCCTAAACCCTAAAGCCTGAAGGTCAGACCTCCATATTCTGACCTGCGTCTGATGCTGGCTTGGGGCATCCTTCAGATCCCTCAAGGGTGGCACGGTAGAGCTGCGCGGGAGTATTTGTTTTTTTAACGCTCCTTTTTGATGCCTGCCAGGTAATGGGCACACTTCAAGGTTTTTTAAAGTGTACTGGCTAGGTCTCCCTAGTCCGGCTTTACAGACATATACTGTGTGAAACCTGACGGGAGTAGGGTTTAGGTTTTAGGGTTTAAGGTGCAAGACGGAGTTTCAAGACATGTGAGGTTGTACTAGCTATGCTAAGAGCTTCTTGGGCCCAGCAGGGGTAGAAGGAGTTAAACATTCCAAACCGAAAACCAACGCTGTTCTGGTGCATAACTTAAGATAATGGCGGGCAGCTGTATTCAGGAACCTTAGTTTTTGTGAACTGGAACTGCCTTCGATCATCTGTCGAGGTGACCGTCGAAGGGCGACAAATCTTCAGCTCTCTCCATGGCACATTCTTTTAAGGCTTTAGGGCCTTTGGGGTTTCGTACTCTCGCTGGGAAGGAAAACCTGCTAAGGGATTATGTGACGGCCCGAACAGCTGCACTACCATTTGGGACGTTTACTGAAGAGTAGGAATTCACAAGAAGGGCAAGCTGCCACCTACTATCTTAATTTTCAGTATGATGATTGTTGTTATGGTTCTTGCGACTAATGTTATTTGTATTGCTACTATCTTGAAGCCCAAACCCTAAACACTAGTACCATGCAGCTCCAAACTCTAAGAACAACCCTGAAGTCTAAAGCCCGGAAGTCCTGACACCCTAAACCACCAACCTCTAAACCCTGAGCCCTATAAACCCCCGTAAGCCTGAACCCCTACAGCAGAAGCCCAAAAGTTGGAGACCCAGCAGCCTCAATCCTTCGGAGTCATGTATACGGATTCCCAGCACTAATTGTCCTTGATCCGGTCTGCAACTTTTTGCGGCTTACTGTAAAGCCCTAGACACTCTAAACCCATAGCCCTAAACCCTAAACCCTAAACTCCCAAACCCTAAACCCCTAAACCCCTGTAAACCGAACCCCTGAAGCCCGAGCTTTTCAAGGCTTCGAAAGCAAATCCGCCGAAGGCACGCCGAAGTCTTTGCGGACGCGATCGTCGATGATGTGGCTCTGCCGAAACCTGCAGACCAACTATGGGAAACTCTAACTTTAGGGCTTTGGGTTTAGGGGATCTTAGGCTTAGGGTTTAGGGGATGTAGGGTTTAGGGTTTGGGGCTTAAACTTTAAATTTCACAACTTCAGGGTTAAGTGGCTCTGCCGAAACCTGCGTAGCCTCTGGGGTTTAGGGTTTCGGGGTTTAGGGGTTAGGGGTTTAGGATCTAGCTAGGAAGGCAGTACATACAGGGGCCTTAATAATCAGAATAGGGGTTTGAGGGCTTTAATATACTATATTTATAGTAAGGAAACCCCCAAAATAGTATAGGTAACTATTATAGGGCCTCGATGGGGATCTAGGGGGCTTGCGGGGATAGGGTTAGAGCATGTATCAGGCTCTAACGTGAGTTCAAAACTAACGCGCCCCATGACAACCCCACAGGGATCGTAATTGCAGAACTTAGATGTCCTTTTGGTATTTTCGGGAGTGCTTCTACTAAGGATCCTACTGCCCCACGAACCTGCTGTACCCGTCCTCACCTGCAACAAAATGATAGGTTGTCCATGAACTCAGAGAGAGAGAGAGAGAGAGAGAGAGAGAGAGAGAGAAAAAGTGAGAAGAGATAGACAGAGAGAGAGAGAGAAAGTCAGTGAGACTGAGTCGGTGTGGGTGGAGCAAACATCAGGCGGAAGTTGAACTGATGGCTGTTGACATACCGTGGCGACCTGGATCACTTCGGGTGCCTTACATCGATACATAGGCTTGGAGTAAAGATAGATGAGCAAATGGATAGACTGTGTGCGATATCTCGATATATGTATGCGTGTGTATATATAATATGTATAATAGAAGTGTACGAAAGCATACATGCACACAAACATCTTATGTATATATGGAGGTAACATAATACCTGTACATTGCAGCTGTATACATGCACCTGAACATACCTACACCTGTATGCACAGGTCCCCCCAAAGCCTGAACCCGTAAAAAAGCCCCAAACCCAGAGCCCTAAACCCAAAACCCACAACCCAAAAGCCGAAACCCAAGTCCCAGAACTCTCAGCCCATAAAACTATACTGAACTTAGAACCCTAGCAAAAAAACAAAATTTCAGCTGTTTCTTCGGGATTATCATAACCAAAAATTAAAATATCATTTCTAAGTACCCCTAAGAAAACCCTAAACCCTAAACCCTAAGCCCTAAACCCAACACCCCTTGCTCTTCGGCCACTCTGAGCTCTTCGGCCAGTCGTCCGTGGTCAGTTCCGAAAACCAGTAGTCGAGTACGCTCGACGCTGCCTCTGCCACAAAGGGCTGGCTCCCAGAGGTCCCAATACCCCTCAATTAAGGAATATACCTTAAATTATAGTAGGATCCCTAATATGATTTAAGGTATATTCCTTAATGTCAAGGAGTCTACCTACAGTCTCCATTGTAGTTCCTTTTGGGGGTTACCTTTTAGGATCCTTAATATAAAATTGGTTAAACCAAAAAAGGAACTACAATGGAGACCTTGCCAAAAGGGTCCAAAGTACCTATATAGTAGAATGTAGGGTTTCTATAATAGGAATTACGATTATGATTTAGGGAAGTATCCCCCATAACAGTACCTAGGACCCTTTGGGTTGTCAAGGGGTCCAGAACCTTAGATCCTTAAAGGGTTTAACAAGGCTGCATTTTGATGGAGCTTAGGAGGTTTGATGAGGGCTTTACTAGAGCTTGATGGAGTTCTGTAGAGCTGGCGGCCTGAGTTCTATATATGTTTTCAATAGTTAGACGAGATGACCTTACTTAATGCATTATATTCAATGGTTATGTGCAATAATCTGTCCTCATGTCTAGAATAGAGCTCTACAGGGCGTTCTCAGGCTTTGTTATCGGCTTGTATAGAGTTTTCTAGGGTTTGCTAAGGGCATCATCGGCCTTACTTAGGCCGCAGGTCTCCATAACAACGAAAACACAGCACTTAGCACAGATCCCTGTTAGGGTGCATAAGTCCTTGTACCTTGAACCCTGAAGCCGTGCACCTCAACAAGGGCCATTCCCAAAGCCTTGCAGAAGAAACAAGCCCCTCCGCATATCTTTTCCGTTTGGGGAAGAGGAGCCCCATTACACTACGAACCTTCTGACACTTACTGACTACTTGTCCGGTACTCATGATTAACCTTCGGGATTATGTAGGCTTATAGTACCGCAAAAAGGCTCAAGGTTATAACCTACTCTACTTCAAAGCAGCCAGCAGCATTGCTTCTCTCATGGCCTCTCGATCTTGTGCCGCGGTCGCCTGGCGAGCGGGCAAGCACGGGCGACCCAAAACATGAGCCGTGTAGAACCCGAACCCCAAACCCTATATGGGTGGTTCTCAGAATTAGGGTCCCTTTTTTTGGTCCCGATTATACTATAATACGAGTCCCCAAGCTCAAGAATCCCAAGCACTGAACTTCTCAAGAGCCCTGCTCCCCCCCGCCCCAAAAATGACAGCCCAAAAGTGTCAAGGTTTAGCCTGCTGTGTAACCCCCCCACTCTGCCCACCTAAGCCCGAATCCCATGATTGGATGTCAAAGGGAGGAGCTTGGCCAGCTAGCTGGACGTGCTCCTCGGCTCCATATGCAAACCCCTGTGGAAAAATGCAGAATGTCAGAAACTCAACATTTCCTGCAGCACACCCTTGACAACGCTACTGCTGGCGCCCGGCGACAGCTTGGAGCCTATGACCTGAAACCCACCTTGCTTGAACAAAATCAACTTAGAGCACAGGCTCGATGTTTTCAATAGGGTTTTGGGATCCGCAAAAGGGAACACTTCCCACCCCTATCATGCGGGTTTCAGGCTCTGGTTTTGGGTTTGAAGGTTGAGGGCTTGGGCGCTAATCTCCAACGCTCCAATTCTCTGGGCAACCTGTTGGGCAGTACTGGCAGACTGGTCTCGGGGTTCTGGGTTTAGGCTTGCTTTCTTCTAATAACCTTTTCTAAAAATAGATCTTGCTTTAATTTGGCAGCCCAAACTCATGTTCTCTCGGCCTCGTCGTCGAGCACCCGCACGTTTTGCGGGCCGCGCTGAGCAGCAAAGGAGGGTTGTTCAAGGACTGCATGCTCAACCCCCTAGACCCTAAATGCCCTAAACCCTGACTCAACACCCCAACCCAAATACCTCACACGCCTAGACCACGCCAGCATATTTCTGACGGCTGTACATCTCGGGATCCCTGTATCGCGCTTGGAACGCAAGAGCCATCCTTCCAGCCACAGTAACCCCAAGAGCCAGAAAGTGGCCTTTCAGGGAGATTTTGGGCAAGCCATGTTGGAGCGGTGCGCCTATGCTGTGCAAGACCATGTTCGGGAATCTTAACCAAATCAAGGGTTGGCCGAGTTGGCGCCGTGACTCTGTTCTGTGTGTCTTGTTGGAATCAGGGGCTATTAAGAAGACGTTGTGGGATCATGGTAGTAGTAGAAGTGTAAACCCCACAGAAAAACCCAAGCATCTGGATGATGGGAGCAAAAAGAAAATAATCACCACTGTTATGACCGTGGTGAGCATCATTTCTGTCGTTAAAACTAGCATCACCATCTTGACCAACACCGCTATAGCCATTACAAGCACCAGCACTATCACCACCTTCATCATCATCTTCTTCATCAGCATCATTGTGGCTATCACCATCATCATTGGTATGCCTCTGTCCAGCCGCCGGTGCTCCTAGCTGCTACTTTCGCTACAGACCTCTGCCATATCAACACCCTTGTACTGCCAGTCTGCTTTCGGAGACAGCACCGATCGACGGCGACGACGACCAACACAGATAGCAACACATACTCGGACGAGGACAACCATGATCACGGAAGCAAGTAGCAATACCACGCGTACTAGAAACTACTGCTTCTACTTCTCCAGTGGGCCAGTCTTCCAACACGGCTGATGACGAAAAGGGCTCTCAGTTTAGGGTTCGGCGTCTGAGTATAGGCTTCAGGGCAGCTTTCGCAACAGTGAGCCAACTTGTCCCAGCTTTTGCCCTCGCAGACCACATGTCGCATGACCGGCTACGCTGTACATAGCCAGAGCTTCAGCCACGTGGCCATGGAAAGTCACACCCCTGAAGCCGAATCCACCAAAGCCCCGAAGCCGAACCCTAAACATAACCTTGCACTTGGGGATTTAGGTTTAGCCTGTAGGAGTCAGGGCGTCAGGGCGTCAGGCTTGGACTATCAAATACCAAACGCCAGATCCCCAAGCCCTGCACTGTAGCTCTCTACCTGTCCAGGATGTTTGCAGGAATTCAATCTCCCACCCTGTGAAGAAATACTGTGTGCAGCTGCACTTCTGCTACAGCCGTTGCGCATGACTACCGCCACCACTGAAACTGACTAAAATGCCCACAAGCTGAAGCTGAGTGATTTGACCAGGGTTTCTGAGGAGCTATTGCAGTATGATTACACGGACGATGAAGGGCGTGTATCATAACCAACCTTGTATTAAATCCCCAAAACCTCCAAACCCTCAAACCCCAACCCCTAAAAAAAACCCAAAACCCTAAACCCCTAACAACATAAACCCTAAAAACCCTAGCACTCGCCTGCTTTGTCGTTTCGGTTTCGGGAGTTATCATAATCAGCCTTGTATTAAATCCCCAAGACTCCAAACCCTAAAACCCTATTGTCGTTTCGGTATTTCAGGAGTGCCAGCCTTCCGGGGGGGCATTTCTGGTGTTCACGAAGTCAGGCCTTTGCCTGAGTCCCAGTAAGGTCCAAGTCCCAGCTGTCCAGCGTCATCCCTATGCCTCCAGGGACCTTATTCTGGGGTCCTTAAGGGGTCTTGGACCCTAACTACGAGGTCCTTGGAGGGATAGGGCATAGGCGCAAGTAGAGAGGTTTAGGGTTTATAAGCTTTCCTGAAAAGTTGACAGACGGAGAGGTAGGTACTTGGACCCCCAGGGTGTAGGGGCAACGTGCACGTAAGCTGAGGCATCCCACTTGCTCTGTACAGCGTCAGGAAGCAGAAAGGAGCCAAGTACGACGAAGGGCGAGAGATCGACTAAACCTTGAAACCCTAAGCCTTAACCTGAGCCCTCCGGGAAAGCTTCTTCCGTCTTCGGAGCATACGCAGGCGCCTGCGCATAGCGCTACTGCGCAGGGAGGGCACATTCCGCCAGGAGCCGACACACATGTGCATTGGCTCATGCAACCGGGGTCAGCCATCTTTATTTTAAAGGGTTCAGGGTGTACCGACCATGATCTAAGGTTTCAGATCCCTAGGCATCTAAGGACTCATATATTAAGGCTTTTGGGCCCAAAGACCATACTATGTAAGGCTTTTGGGCTATTTTGATGCGCAGGGGATGGAGGGCTTGTGAGTTATCCGGTTGTGGGTTCAGAACTTGAACGGCAAGCGGCTAGGATTCGATCTGAGAATTGTTGCCCCCTGAACCCTAAACCCGTACACCCCTGTTAAAGTCCGAAAGGAATCACTCAAACCGTCATCCTCGAGTCCGTTGATATCTCCAGGTAGGGCTCTCTTACTGGGGAATCTTTACACTGAAATGAAACCCCATAATTGCCAGAGTTTCTGAAACTCCCGTTTGATCTACAACTCCCGGCGGTAGAAGACGGCGAACTCTGGATAGATCGCTTCCTCGTGGAAGAAGACGAACTCCCGAAACCTGAACTAACTGGGCTCCACCCTAAGCACAGCTTAACCCTTAGCCTCGATCATACGATGGCTCTGACCCAGAGACTCCAATATCCCTTAATTAAGGAATATACCTTAAATTATAGTAGGACCCCTTATATGATTTAAGGTATATTCCTTAAATAATGGATCTTGGAGTCTCTGGGGAGGGTATAGGGCTACTCCTGTAAAGGCCATGCCGAAAGTCTCCTCTCAAGCCCCATGCTCAAGCCCTACGCTCCACCCCAAACGGCCCTAAACGCACAAAACGCCTGTAAGAGCCCCAGGCCCCTGAGCATATCATAAGAGCCCCAGGCCCCTGAAAACAACACTCTTCTACTTAAAGGATCATGGGACTTAGTAACTCGGGTTATACTTAGGGTAACTATACTTATAATTACTTATAACCCCAATTAAGGTACTTATAACTCCACTTACTAAGTCCCATGATCCTCCAAGTAATTACAGCCCCTGTAAGATAAAACCGTCAAAGGAAAAGTAGCACCTCACCACAAGAAGCACCCAAAAGCCCTAACAACCACTACCGAAGGCCGCGTAGCGTTCCCACCGCGCGCTCCCGGTCCCCGACGACCTGGGTTCGAGGGAGCAACACTTCAAGTTACCAGACTGGGGATCTGTAGTACATAATCTGGCTCAAACCCCAAGCCCTAAAACCGCATCTCGAAGTAATATAGGGGCCTTAAGAGTTACGAGTACTGTTTGGGGAATTCCTTATTATAATTATACGATAATAAATCCCAAAACCCTATTCTAATTACTAAGGCCCCCTACATCCGAGTATCATTCTAGTATCCCTTATAGACCCCTTGAAAAAAAGGAACCCTATTCTAATTACAAGAGCCCCTGCATAAAAATCTTTAAGAACACTATACTAACCCTAGTAGGACTCCGTTTAAGAATCCCCTATAGTACCCCTAGTAGGACCATCTTTAAGAACCCTTCAAAGGAACCCTATTCCAATTATGCAGGCCCCAACTCCAACATCTTTAAGAAGAGCCCAGCGACGGACTCATGAAAGGACCCATTTTAAGAACCCTTTACTATACTGAACTTAGAACCCTAGCCAAAATTAATAATTTTAGCTGTTTCTTAGGGATTATAATAACCTAAAACTACAATTTTTTTTTCTCTTTACCCCTCAGTTTAAGGGAACCCTAGTAACAAGAGCCCAGCGACGGACTCGAAGTCTCCCGAGGTGACCAGAGGGCCGTAGTCGGCCGGATCTGTGACCTTAACTTCTGCTGCTTGGGGTTTTTGGGGTTTTGGTGGGTTTTGAGGGGTTTAAGGGGTTTAGGTAGGGTTTAGGGCTTAGGGTTTACGGAGTTTGGGGGGTTAAGGGGGTTTAGGGGGTTTAGGGCGTAGGGTTTACGGGGGTTTAGGTGGTTTAGGGCTTAGGGTTTGGGGCCAAGGGGTTTAGGGGCTTCAGGGTTGCTGCTTGGGTGAAGGGTGTTAGGATCTGCACGGTTTATACGAGGCTTCATTTCGGCTTCAGGAGTTTCAGGTTTGGTGCTGCAACATGCCGTCAGGGCTCTTGACAGAGAGGGAGTTAAAGGCTAATAGTATTAGGGCATTGCTCTTTGCTTAAAGACATATGCACTCACCCGAAGCCCAAGGGCCCAAAGCCTGGAATGCGAATGCCTATACCTTACCTTGAAGAAACCCCTTAAGTGGGCAGCTTCCGGGGTCGAAGCACTTGCTGTCAAACAAGCTTTGTTGAGATTATGGTCCAAGACCTAGCTTTTAGCGAGGCTTTCGGAGGATACTCGCATAGCAACATATGACAGTCGCCTGTTTTCTGAAGCTCCGAAATTGTACATGTTGGAGCGCAGTATGTAAGGCTCCTATGTTCTTCCCATGGGAGGTGGAATTTGGAGCATTGCCTTTTTGGGGGCTGGCTTCAGGGCATGCTTTTTCGAGCAGCTGTGAGCAGTTGCGACCAAGAAGAAGAAAACGGGTGACCGTTCACAGCCCTCGACAAGGCTTGAACCGCCGTCGATTCATGTGAAAGGCAGAGACATCCCTGTTGAAGAAGTTGAAGAAGCCGTCGCTTAAACGGATGGGGGGGTTAAGGTTTTTAGGGTTTCAGGATGCTTAAGCTTCAGGATTTACGGTCTTGAACAGCCTACCCTGCTTACCCTTCTGTGTCCCTAAAACAGAGATAAGGTCCTTAACCCTGAAACCCTAAAGCTGGAAAGATTCAAAGCACAACATCCTCACCCTACCTATGGTCTTCATGGTAGTTTCTTGTTTTGCATAACCGAATATATATATATATATATATATATATATATATATATTGATTGAGAGTAACCCCAACAAGGACTCCAATGGAGACTACAGGTAAACCTAAACACATAGAGCCCTGAACCCCTTA